AGGATGTCCACTCTCTCCATACCTCTTCAATATAGTGCTTGAAGTTCTAGCAATAGCAATAAGACAACATAAGGGGATCAAAGGGATTCGTATTGGAAAGGAAGAAGTTAAGCTTTCGTTATTTGCAGATGATATGATAGTATACATAAGCGACCCCAAAAACTCTACCAAAGAACTCCTACAGCTGATAAACACCTTCAGTAATGTGGCAGGATACAAGATCAACTCGAAAAAATCAGTTGCCTTCCTATACAGTAAGGATAAGGAAACAGAGAGGGAAATCAGAGAAGCATCACCTTTCATGATAGCCACAAAGAGCATAAAATATCTTGGGGTAACCCTGACCAAGGAAGTGAAAGATCTATATGACAAGAACTTTAAGACTTTGAAGAACGAAATAGAAGAAGACACCAGAAAATGGAAGGATCTCCCTTGCTCTTGGATTGGGAGGATCAACATAGTAAAAATGGCAATTCTTCCAAAAGCAATATATAGATTCAATGCAATCCCCATCAAAATCCCATCAAAATTCTTCACAGATCTGGAGAAGACAATAATCAACTTTATATGGAAAAATAAAAAACCCAGGATAGCCAAAACAATCTTATACAATAAAGGAACGTCTGGAGGCATTACCATCCCTGACTTCAAACTCTATTACAGAGCTACAGTATTAAAAACAGCTTGGTATTGGCATAAAAACAGAGAAGTCGACCAATGGAACCGTATAGAAGACCCTGACTTTAATCCACAAACCTATGAGCACCTGATTTTCGATAAAGGAGCTAAAACTATACAATGGAAAAAAGAGAGCATCTTCAACAAATTGTGCTGGCAAAACTGGATTTCAATCTGTACAAAAATGAAAATAGATCCATGTCTGTCACCATGCACAAAACTCAAGTCCAAGTGGATTAAAGACCTCAATATCAGTCTGAACACACTGAACCTGATAGGAGAGAAAGTGGGAACTACACTACAACAAGTGGGCACAGGAGACCGCTTCCTACGTATAACATCAGCAGCACAGACAGTAAGGGCCTCATTGAATAAATGGGACCTCATGAGACTGAGAAGCTTCTGTAAAGCAAAGGACACTGTCGCTAAGACAGAAAGGCAACCCACTGACTGGGAGAAGATCTTCACCAACCCCGCAACTGACAAAGGTCTGATCTCCAAAATATATAAAGAACTTAAGAAACTAGACTGTAAAAGGCTAATCAACCCAATTATAAAATGGGGCACTGAGCTGAACAGAGATCTCTCAACAGAAGAAGTTCAAATGGCCAAAAGACACCTAAGGTCATGCTCAACTTCCTTAGCGATCAGGGAAATGCAAATCAAGACAACTTTAAGATACCATCTTACACCTGTCAGAATGGCTAAAATCAAAAACACCAATGATAGCCTATGCTGGAGAGGTTGTGGAGAAAGGGGTACACTTATCCATTGCTGGTGGGAATGCAAACTTGTACAACCACTCTGGAAAGCAGTGTGGCGGTTTCTCAGAAAATTTGGGATCAACCTACCCATGGACCCAGCAATACCACTCTTGGGAATATACCCAAGAGAGGCCTTATCATGCAACAAAAATATATGCTCTACTATGTTCATAGCAGCATTGTTTGTAATAGCCAGAACCTGGAAACAACCTAGATGCCCCTCAATTGAAGAATGGATGAAGAAAGTATGGAATATATACATATTAGAGTACTACTCAGCAGTAAAAAACAAGGACTTCTTGAAGTTTGCAGGCAAATGGATGGAAATAGAAAACACTATCCTGAGTGAGGTAAGCCAGACCCAAAAAGAGGAACATGGGATGTTCTCACTCATATTTGGTTTCTAGCCATAAATAAAGGACATTGAGCCTACAATTCGGGTTCTTAGAGAAGCTAAAGAAGAAGGAGAACCCAAAGAAAAACATATAGGCATCCTCCTGAATATTAACCTTCATCAGGCGATGAAAGGAGACAGAGACAGAGACCCACATTGGAGCACCGGACTGAAATCTCAAGGTCCAAATCAGGAGCAGAAGGAGAGCGAACATGAGCAAGGAACTCAGGACCGCGAGGGGTGCACCCACACACTGAGACAATGGAGATGCTCTATCGGGAACTCACCAAGGCCAGCTGACCTGGGTCTGAAAAAGCCTGGGTTAAAACCGGTCTCACTGAACATAGCGGACAATGAGGACTACTGAGACATCAAGAACAGTGGCAATGGGTCTTTGATCCTACTGCATGTAGTGGCTTTGTGGGAGCCTAGGCAGTTTGGATGCTCACCTTAGGAGACCTGGATGGAGGAGGGTTTTCCTCGGACTTCCCACGGGACGGAGAGCCCTGATTGCTCTTTGGGCTGAAGAGGGAGGGGGAACGGATTGGGGGATGGGGAGGGAAAGGGGAGGCGGAGGGGGGGAAGAGACTGAAATATTTAATAAATAAATAAATAAAGAAAAAAAAAGAAAAAAAAAATAAAAAAAAGCTTTATTTTCTTCCAATTAGATCTAATACTTTAAGTGCCCTATGGTGTAATGTTTTTAAACAGCAGAGCCCTAAATGGCCAGCATTTTAGCAAGAGGGAGAACTGCTGTACAGAGACCTAGCACACTGGCTCTGCCATCCCAGCATTCCACAGTCAGGAACAATGGCGAGGCGCTTCCTCAAGGCTTCGCTCCAGTGCTAGAATGTACTCAGTATAAACTGCAAATGTATGAAAGTATCTTAAGGATGAATTCATTTTTAAAATCTGTATTCCCATTACTAGAATGTATTCCAAAGACTAGAGCATAAAATACTTGATTTAGCTTCATTTAAAATTATTATAATTAAAAAATCTCAGCTGTCAAGCAAGGAATGACTAAAACTGGGTATAGTCACACAGAAGTGCACCTGTAGTGATGTGTAGATGTTGTGGGGCACAGTGGCTGGCATGGAAGGATGACAACATGAAACAAACAGTGGGGATCCCTTTCCACAACATATTATAAACCACAAAATATTAGAAATATAATCTAAGGCATAAATTTCATTTTAGGCAATGGATTGAAAATCCTACCACATAGCCACATTTTCTAGCTAGTCTGTAGTAACATGTATTTTTAATTTCTTTATTTTAAAAGGGTTGACTTTTTCATCTTCAAGTCTTTTATTTACTCCCCAAGTGACTTAACCTTTTAAGGCTCATCCAATTCCCTATAAAGATTTCTGAGAGGAACATCAACTTACCTCAAGCAAAAAAATAATGATTCCTTAAATTACGTTTTTCTACTGCTAACAGTTTTAACCCACTGGGAGGAAAGGGGAGTGAGCTTCAGTGAGTGTTTCCCAGGTGTCCACCACCAAGGCTTCCTTCCTAGTAGGCTCTGGCCACTTCTGCCCCTCACTTCCAAACCACACTCCCAGGCCTCACCACAGCACCTCTCTCTTTGCAGCCTTTCATCACACACTGTACTTTCTCAATCCATTCCAATTCTTGCTAATAAAAGTGTTCGTTCGAAAGCAAAACTATTTCTTCTTTTTAAGATTTGCCTGCTAACATCCACGTGAACAGTAAAGTTTTCAGTACAGAAACATAAACACCAAGTCAAATAACGGCACAAACTGTTCTGCATTTCTAGACACCAGGCTGGGAGTGACCTCATGTGTCTATGATGCTCCAAAATATACACAATGCTGTGATTTAAAGCAATCTTTAGCCTAAAGCTTGCCAACTGGAGATTAAAATGCAAGACAGCAGATATTAAACATTTGCTCCAGTTATTTCATGATTCAATTATACAACTCTACCCATATCATAATTTTATTCCCCAAAACAATATCTATCTTTGAAAAATATTAAGGCTATAAAACCCCAAATGCTCAAAAATCACTTACAGCTATTCCGGAGATATTTACATCAAATTAAGGTGAACAGATGAGAATGAAATTGGCTGTAATAAACATCATCAGCTACATCCAGGGGATTCACTTAGCTTCTCAAAAGTCGTGGTCCCCTTTGCAGTTTTTAGAATAGGGAAGACACATGCAGGATGCCCAAGCTAACTTAACAGTGGCAGAGGGAGAAGAATCGAGGTGACTTTTCAATTTGCTTCTTTCCTGAACTACATCCCCATGGCACATTGGTTTTCCCTGACCGTCTTCCATTCCTGTTTGCTTACCCTGAGTTTACTTCCTGGCTTATTTTGACTGCACTCTCGACACACGAGTTACTAGCCCCTCCATTCAGCCTTTCTTAAGCGAATCCTAGAATTCTTTCTGTAGGTTTGCTTTATTTGCTCTGCTGATCCTGCCTGTACCCCGTTCAGTTGTTGTGCTATTGGGCTTCTCACTAAGCAGAATTAGATGGCCCCTAAAGCATGTCTACTCCAGTGCCCACTACTATACTTCTCTCTCCTACAACTGAACCCTTAGAACTTACTATCTACTGCAAGGGTAGACTTAGTTATGTGAAACCCAGAGAGAAAGAAGAAAACCATTGAAAAATGAAAATAGAATTACTCTGAAATGCTGGGTCAAGCCTAGGAAGCCGGAGCATAATTCACAGCAACTCCCCAGGCAACTGTCTGCCTATTGAGATGGGAACTCTTCAGGAAGAGAGAATGGAATGGCACATCAGAAACACTTGCAAGTTATCGTGGCTCTCAGTTCCGGGGGCCAGTGGTTCATAGGCTTGCTATTCTGGCAGAAGAAGGGTAAGCTATCCAGTCAGTGGTTGCTAATCTGGTGCTCCACCATACTTAGCTAACACTTAACTAGAGTCCTCAAATCAAGTAGAGTCTGGGACTCCATGGAGTAAGCTGACCTCTGATAGGCGGCTGCTGTGAGAGCTCCCAGGGCCCTGCCCTGCTCCATTAATTCCTGCAATATTCCTATTAACAGCAAGAGACAGTTGGGAGGCAACAAAACACATGTTTTCAAAAAGGGAAGAAAAGGCATCACAAAAGGCGCCTGAGAAGATCCTAGGCCCTCCAAGAAGGCGAGTCTCCCTTCTGTCCTCACCAGTAAACGACATCCAGCGGTGCAAAGAAATTTCTCGTTATCAGGTCGGCAAAGTACGCTTCGGTCTCCCGGCAGGCAGTTCCATTTCCAATCACCACTGTGCTGCAGCTTCAAGGAAGAAACAGAATGAGAACCTGAGTGAGGTCAGGCATACTCTGAAGTCAACCAAGGAAAGCACATGGAATGCAGTGTTAGACACAACTCTAACTCTCAAACGACCATGAGACCTCTACACTGCTCTAGACTAAAACATTGCATTTGGGAAGGGGAGCGGGCAAAGAGAAACAGTTTACTGTCATCTTAAGAAAAGACAGGTGTTATTCTCGTATACATCAAGCCAAAATAAACATAAGTAAACTCATGCTCATTCCAAATCATAATAAAGTCATACAACTAAATCATACAATGCTAATTTCTGAAGTTCCTAACTAATACAATATCCCTTCTTCAGGAGAGAAAGGGAGGGAAGAAGGTGTAGAAGGATTTCCCAGGTACCCACATCACCACCCCTACTTGAGAGAGGGCAGAGAGAAGGAAAGTAGTTCTCTATTGTCTCCATGTATGAGCTCTTGAACAATGGGCCCAGCATTGTGCACGAGGTTATTTCTTTCTCCCCAGTTATTTCTCTTAATTCCACACTCCAGATTAGGAGTTTCAAAGGTACCTAAGATGGTTGAGCTATTTTCTTACTTGAAATCCAGCAAAAGCCTCTTGATCTTCTCTGCCTCTCGGAAGCCTTGTCCACAGTGCAAATAAACCACATCAGTATGAAGAATCTGACCTTAAAAGGAGGGTGGGAGGGTTGTAAAAAGACATCTGCAAACTCGAACTCACTACTGTTTCTATTAAGCAAGTCCCAGCTGAAAACCGAACTGGCCTATCTTTTAAAAGGAGGGTCGGTGAGATGTCTCACAAGGGAAGTATGCTTGCCACCAAGCCTGACACCCTCAGTTGGATCCTGGAATCCACACAGTGGAAGAAGAGAAATGATTACCTCAAGCTGACCTCTGACCTCCATGAACAAGTGTACATACACACACCTACACAAATTAAAACGTAAAAAAGATCACTACAATGCAGTCTGAATCTTTCATAGTCACTAGAATAGGCTCTCCTTACGGATTCAGAAAAAGCTGTTCCTTTCAAAGTAAAATAACTCCACTTTTACACACAAAACCATTAGTAGTTGAATACTGTGTTAGGAAACCTAGAGGAGAGATGGTTTTCAGTAACACCCAACACACCACAGCTAAAGCCCACACTTGCTGGACAGCTGCTACAGATCAGCTCAGTCACACTAGTCTTCCTTCTCAGTTGTCGATATGTAAACCTATTTATTCGGTCTATTTCTTTGAGGCATATAGTTAAGAACTTTGGGATTTTTCTAGCTTGCATTATACACCAAGTATTTTATTTTAAAATAAAATTTTTAGTTGAGATAAAGTTTCAGGGTGATCACTAACACCATGGGGATAATCATGGGGCTAATAAAAAAAAAAATCATGGGGCTAATAACACAGTATAATCCCTGAGAAAGTAGAGGGTAAGAAATGAGTGATACAGTATTTAAAAAGTGAGAGAGAAAAGATACAGATGTAAAAGGCACACAAAATAAATAATTAAAAAAAAATATCTGATACAATCCAACAACAAGCAGGCTGAACTAGGGAGACTGCCTCAAGCTCCAAGCCAGCTACCCTCACCAAAAATAGTTAATGGGGAAAAAAATGGGGAAGAAGGAAGTATAACAGAAAAGATCAATGAAATTTAAAATAAAATATTTATAAGAAAAAAATGCTTCCAACAGTATCACTAAGGAAAAGGAAGATACAAATATATTACAAATAAAGAAGCTACATAACCAGGGCTGCAACAGTTTAAAAAGAAATAAGACTCAGCAAGAACTTTATCAACACACACTGAGAAAACACTGTGTTTCAAATTCTAATTCTAAGAACAACTAACCACAATACTGAAAATTCACCTACCAATAGGTCCAGAAGAAGGTAGCATGGACAAGTTGAAGTTATCTTTTTAAAAAAAGTGTAATCTGACATTCTCAAAACAAAACAAAATGCCTAGCTGGGCCCAGAATTTCAGTACTCGGAAAGTTAAAACAGGAAGAGTTCATCTGGGACTACGTAATGAGTTTAAGGCTAGCCTGAGCTACAGAGTGAAGTCTTGTTTCAAAAATAAAGTAAGGAAAACATCTAAATACTATAATTTATCGCAGTGGTACACTACTGGACAAGCACCTCAGTGGGTACAGGAACAACACTGAGATTATCAACCCGTCCCATATGTGTGGAAAATTAATAGCATAAATGACAACTAGGAAAGCAAAAAGCAAAAGCCCATGGCTGTACTTTTAACAGGTAACAAACAATCCCCACAAAACCAAAAAAAGCAGGTCAGAATGACCAGCACAGCTAAAAGACCTCTACGAGAGGGATCTGAGGGAAAGCAGAAGAGAACAACAGAGAGTATAGTGGCCCAAGGGAGGCGATACCATCCTGGAGAGCACAAGAGTCAGAGAAGGAGCCCACTGGTACAGACCCACTAACATCCTGGATTCCAGAAGCTAAGAGAAGAGGAAGTACCAGAGTGGAAAAATGAAACAAAACAAACAAACAGCTGGAACCTGATCTAAACCAAGTACGTCAAACACAGAATGCAAAGGATGTTGGTTAAAGAAGAGCAAGTAACCAAGAAACCTGTTCCAGAAACCATCAGGTCCAGTCTCCGCCCTGGGCGACAGCTGGCTTTTCTAAGGGACTTGGGCAAACAGAAAAGAAAGTTAGTTTGCTGTGATGGAGGAGGGTCATCTGTCTATGTGTTACTCTTATTGGTTAATTAATAAAGAAAACTGCTTGTCCTGATAGGTCAGAACATAGGTAGGCAGAGTAGACGGAACAGAATGCTGAGAGAAAGAAGCAGATTCAGGCAGACACCATAGCTCTCCTCTCCGAGATGGATGCAGGCTAGAATCCTCCTGGTAAGCCACCACATCGTGGTACTACACACATTAATAGAAATGGGTTAATCAAGATGTAAAAGTTAGCCAGTAAGAGGCTAGAGCTAATGGGCCAAGCAGTGTTTAAAAGAATACAGTTTCCGTATAATTATTTCGGGTAAAGCTAGCCGGGAGCCGGGTGGCGGGAAGTGGCCCGCAGCTCCTTCTACAGAGTGCCACAATATGAAGATGTTCTCAAATGAGAACACAGAAATGCAGAAAGCAAAGTTACAGAAAGGGTAACTACATGGGACAGGAAAAGAATATTCACAGCTGCAAAATGTCTGATAATATATTTTTATGCACACACATATTTAGAATACATCATAAAGAATTAAAGTTGGTAACAGCTAAAACTGGGGTCATATATAGCTCAGTTGGGAGAATGCTTGCCTAGCATGCCCTGGGCTTAAAGCCTAGTACCACATATGTAAGATATGATGGCACACGTGTCTGTGATACCACACTCAGGAGGTAGAGGCAGAAGAATCATGAGTTAGTATTCTCCTTAGCTACCTAGAGTTCAAGGCTAGCCTGGGCTATATGAAACTGTGTCAAAAAGAAAAAAGAAAGAGAAAGAAAAAGAGAAGAAAAGAAAAGAGGAGTTCAAGTCTGACCCTAGTTAATGCTCAATCTATTTCTCTCCACTGGCACACAGAGAAGAGGATAAACGCTGGTCTTTCTGTGTGAGAGTTCTGATCCAGAAATAAGGGAAATACTCTGATTAGCACAGCCCCAAGAGAAAACAATTTCTAAGCCTCAAAAAACAAACATTATGTCCAAATCTTCATGAAATCTATGAAGTGAAACTTAGGATCAACCAAGGAACTCTAGTATTTAAAGCTGAAGAACTTACTAGTAGGAGAAATGATGGCTAGTTTGCATCCATGTTTGTACCCAGGATCTACTCCCATCAAGGTGCGGCCTGGAACAGGACTTGTTAAAAGGAGCTGGCGGAGGTTCTGTCCAAACAACATCACGGATTGCTTCTCTGCGTCTGATGTCAGTTTGGCTCTTAGAAATGCAGGGACCGGGGAGAGATGACACAAAATCACTTAAGTTTATCATTCATCCAAGTTTTCTTTCCAGAAAAAGATCACAATTTGTTTTGTGCAGTTAATCCTCAGGAGAACCACCCCATTCCTGAGTTACACTGAGTCTACTTTTGCTAACCAGAACAAAATGAGACGATAAATAACTTTGAAGCAAACTGTCTGAATACCTATCTTCTCTAGCTGCTGTTATATACAAGTCATAAGTTAAATATGTGTGCATATACATGAGAAAGAGCCTGTAAAGATTTCAAATCAAATTAAAGCTCATCAGATGATTAAAAATACAAACACAAAACAGAATGGCAAGGCCACAGGTAGCCTCCACCAACATCATTTACTTCAATATTTTGACTTCAAGTCTCAAAGTCATTGTCATTGTCTATATTCCTTTCCACATCCACCCCCTTGTCATTCAGACACGTGACAATGCCATAGATCCTAACAGCTAGTGCAGAACCATGGCTCTTGTAACAATGCCTCTATTTTATCAACAAGCTTTGCTGGATGAAAAGAAAAGCCTATGATGGGCTTAACGGCAGCTGGAAACCTGAAGCTCTCAATGCATCATCTCTTGAAATTCATAATTATCAAGTATTTCTTCTCTACTGGATCAAATAAGAAATAAATGTCACTGGCCACAAGAAACTACTCATTTTCCAAGCGTGGGTTTTGCGTCTACGTGGGGAGGGATTAACTACACATGTAAAGATGCACACTGCAACTGTCTGTTTCTCTGGCTTAATTTTGTTTGTAAAGATTTTCTCTCATCTTCTCTAACATTTCACTGTAATTATTTTACTTCTACAAAAAGAGATTAGAAATATCATTACAAGTATTTCTAAGTTTTCGTTTTGAACTTCATTTATTGTGAAATCACTGACTGGTAGACTTTGCAAGTAACCATGATTGGTTTAAGTGATATAAAACTGAAGGGCCACACGCCTGCCCTGAAGACCACTACATGATGGAAGAAGAAGAAGAAGAAACAGAACAGACGAAAACAATGGGGATGCCAAGCTTAGTAGGAACCTATGCCAGGAGCAGCTCGGATGAATGAGAGCTACACACATAAAGGTGGGGATGTGGAGACACCACATACAAATAAAATGGCATAGAGGGTTCACAGTTCTTTGAAGAAAAATAGTGATTTCACATGCTAAGAGAAAAAGAAATAACAAAGACATAGTAACTGAAGAGACAAAATAAAATTCTTGGCAACAAGTCACTAGGCTCTTCTAAAGAGCCTCAAGTTTACCCTGGACACAGGTCTACAGGGAGGACTTTACATAGACTACTGTGAGGTAACAAGATGGGATTCTTCAATGGTAATGTGCGGCAGCGAGATTGCTCATTAGGCAAAGCAGCTGCCAAGCAGCCATGAGGGTCTGGGCTCAGGTCCTTGGCACCAACATAAAAGCCAGGCATGTTGGCTGAAGGCATGCACCTGCAACCATGGCCAAGAACAGAAATAAAATATTAATAAAAAACAAAACAAAAAAACAAGAACCAGAGGAATCAACTTTTCTACCTTTAGGATAAATTCCTTCTGATCAAAGGAAACAAAATATTTTTCTTCAAAGCAACATAAAGCCATCTTTATGCTCCCTCCTTAGCTGCTGTTCAGGTGAGTATCTCTAAAGAGACCCAGCTCTGGTCAACGTCTACACTCTAACTAGGAACTGAAAGAAACTATATTGCTCTACCACAGGCATATTAGAAGAGGAACATGCTCTTGCTTATCCACAGTGCAAATCAAAAAAAGAACTATGTCCTACAGAATCCCACACCACACTGCTTCAAATTATTCCAAGCAAAATGTCAAAATACCATCAGATGCTGAATGAAATATGAAAAAAAAAAGAAGTGCCACACTGAAATTTTACCTAAGATTATTTTTCCCTTCAAAACAGAATGAATGGTGTTCAATAGTTCAGAACACTTGCTACACAAGAGTTGGGATCCTAGCACCCACATAACAAGCCAAGTGTCTTACAATGCCAAGTATATTGCTAAGGCTTGTTGACTTCCAACCCAGCTCATCCACAAGCCCCAGGTTCAGGTAAAGATCTCCACCTCAAAGGAGCATGTGCTGGTCATAGGATACCTACCACCTTCTTCCCACCTTCTTCCTGCCACTGCACACAAGCACCATCATGTGTACCATGTATATACAACTCACACACATACACACATACAAAAAATAAATAAATAACTGAATAAGAAAAAGAACAGATCCTGTAAAGTTTATGCCATAGCACGGAAAGGAAGAGACATTACATCACACAGAGTTCCAAACAGAACAGTATCTTTAGGGGCCACCTAGGATAAAGGATAAAGCAAACTGAACAGTGGAGCCCTCATCTTTATAATGTTCATTCCCTACTCTGGATAATCTGAATTCAAAGACCAAACGTACCAAGGGGGGACCAGAAATCTATCAGTCGGCTAGAAATCTCAGTGAGCTGACCGGACAACTGCAATACCACCATTCCCAAGGAGCTTGGCTGAAGCTTCAAGGAAAGTAAAGATGCTGGATTACCTTGCCGAGCCCTGATGCAAAGGGAGGAGCTTGATCCTGCATCAACCTGATGTGCCATGCTTTGTTCAAACCCATGGGAGGCTTGCCCCTTCCTGAATGCAGAGGGAGGAGGAATAAAAGGGGAGAGGAAAAAAAAAAAGGAGGGGGAGAGACTGGGGACAGATAGGACACTACATGGGGATGAGGGGAGGAGAGGGGGGTAGTGATCGGTATGTAAAATAAATGGGAAAAAAGTGCTACTTAAATTATTTTTTTTTAAAGTAAGGATGAGGATGCACTGATCTACAGTTCACATGAAGACTGCATGAAACCACGCAGTTTGGACTTAACTACCAAGACAACAGCTAAAAAAAAAAAAAATCAAGAGAGAAAGTGAGACTCTTCCATCTTCTCAGCTAACAGCAATTCTGCACCTCACAGGACTCCCATGAGCCCCCTGGGTTTCCTTCAATCACCTTCTCAGTGCTTGTCATTGCTCACCCAGACAATTCCCACTGGGAGATGAACACACATAATTGCTTTCACTCCTCACAGCAGTAAGATCATCTCGCCTTTCATAAGTTCCTTATGCGTTCTTTGGCTCTATGACCGTCAGAAAAATGATTCCAAGTAACCTCTCCATTAACTTCTCTGTTTGTTTTTCCCAAGCCAGATCTCTAATCAATAAAATCATGTTTGGTTTGGTTGCCAAACTGCAACATTGGCAAAGCAGAATTGGAGGGGTGGACTAGGTGTTCCTGACTAAAAAAGAGTCTCACGATGAAGAAGAAGGCTGTGAGATCTATGCATAAGAAGGAATCTAGAGAATAAAACCAAGGCTCACACTGAAGACCTCGTTTGACTAAGTTCTTTGGCTTAGTTCATACTCAACCAACATTTACTCCACACTCTATGAAGACCCACCCCTAATGGTAAACAGTACACAAAATTAAACAGGATACATACCTGAACTCTCTACAGAGGAGAGGAACAATAAGGCGTTTAAAGGAGTCATCCAGGGAATTACGTAAGATCTGCATTAACTCTGGCCGTGCAAAGCCACGTGGCCTCCATCTACAAGAAGGAAAAGCTCATGATAAAACTGAAGTGACAACAAGACCATGAAAGGACACCTGGAAGAGGGGAGCTGGGGAACAGGAAGCCACAGAGGATAATCTGGGAGAGGCTGTCCTAAGGCTGTGGTGTCTGAAAGGTATCATGTGACATGTTGAGGGGAGTGTTTCTTGAGGGGGAGATTGTTGTTTTGTTTGAAGGGGTTTTGTTTTGATTTGTTCAGATAGGATCCTCTGTGTTGATGTGGGATTCCCATCTGTATGCTGTGAATATTGGTTGATAAAGAAGCTACTTTGAGCCTATGGCAGGGCAGGATAGAGCCAGGTAAGAAACCCAAACAGATATATAGAAAGAGAGTAGTCAGAGTCAGCAAGATGCCATGTAGCTGCCGAAGGAAAAAGATGCCAGCTGCCAGCCAGAACCTTCCCAGCAGGCCACAGTCTCATGATTCACAGATTAATAAAAATGGCTTAATTTAAGATGTAAGAGTTATCTAGAAATATGCATGAGCTATTGGCAAAAGTGTAGAAATTAATATAGTTTCTGTGTGATTATTCAGGTCTGAGAGGCTAGGAAATGAACAAGCAGTCTCTGTCTATACTGTGTAACATTACAGGACCTAGAATTCACTATACAAACAATACTGCCTTCAAGTTTGCTGTGACTGTCCTCTCCAGATATTACCAGTGAAGGCTAACCTCCTGAGACATCTGACAGCCACTAAAACATCCTGATGGTACTAGAAACTGAGTTTCACCCTTCCCTAATCCGCATGCGGAAGCCCCAGCCCCTGGTGTGAGGCATCTATGGAGGGGCTACAGAAAACATCAGCATCAGATGGTCATATGGTAGAGCCTGCGCTGCTACCCTAGTCACTGTGACATGAGAAAGTTGCAGAAGACAGCCCCACATAGGCCTCAACTGTTGGCTCCTTGATTTTCTACTCCCTGCCTCTAGGACTCTAAAGAAAGTAACTTTTGTTGCTGATGTCACCAAGTCTCTAGTGTTTGGTTGCAGCAGCTTTGCTCACAGCCTCATCTTTTCTGTGAGAATGAAAGGCGGCTGTAGAGAGAACCTGGATGAATCTTATTTCTTGGCACTCTCATTTTCTTGGTAGCAAACTTTGACTTAAAACCTTACGTGTCTCAAACTTAACAAAAAGTCAATTCAACTCAAAGTTAGGTTCTTCCTCTAAAACCCAAGTGTCTATCCTAAGTGAACCCTGCTCTCTCCCACTGCTGAGCTCTTACCCTCACCTCTTAAACACTCTCCTCTTACATTTCTTATACAATACACTGGTAAAGATGTTTGTGTCACTGACAGTAGGGTTCTCGCCCTCTTCTTCTTCCCCCCACAACTGTCAGATGAGAGGTATAGTGGGGAGTACTGTCCAAAAGCCTGACATAACTTAAAACAAGCACACATGATAAAAAGGAAAACACCTGCAATGAATTCTGCTGAAATATATTAAAAAATATGGGCTGGAGAGATGGCTCAGCAGTTAAGAGCATTGCCAGAGTTCAATTCCCAGCAACCACATGGTGGCCCACAACCATCTATAATGAAGTCTGGTACCCTCTTCTGACTAACTGTATACACAATAAATAAATATTTATAAAAATATTCAAAAAATAAATAAAAATCTTCATTATTTTAGTTCAAAATCCCTAAAATCAAAGTTAGTTCAATTCTACAAAGAAGGAAGAGCATCTCCAACTTCATGGCACCATTTTGGAACCTCATCTGGGTATTGTTGATAACCTGACCCCCTGCCCAGGCCCCACTATCTGCCCAGCAGCATGGATGCACACTGGCTGACCTCCTGCTCAGGCCCCACTGCCTGCCCAGCATGTATGCACAGTGAATAAAGCCAACTAGACACTGGGGAAAGAGCAGAATGGCAAAGAGGATCTATCAGACACAAACCCAGCCCCACAGGCTCCATGTTTTCATTCACATCCAGTATTTCTGCATTTGCCCTTCAACACCCTCTTCTGCAGAAGCCATTAGCAAAAGTATGAATAGTTTTTAAAAAAGCTAATGCACCTTAAGGTAATCTCTCCATAAATTAGGAGGAAATGAAACTTCAGCGAGCACACTTTAAAGATCACACAACAGTAAATAACTGAATCCCTTCTAAAGGATGTTAGATCAGCAACATATAATTTTGTCTTTCAATTTAAACAAATGTGATTTTAGGCAAGAAATATGATACATTCTTCTCACCCAAATCTCTGTTACTTCCCCACAGTTTCCCCTACATGAGAGGTGATAAGGAAGGGGATAAGAATTAGACATACGAGCCCCATGTTATTTAAAATGTTCCTAATAGACTCCTGTTTCGAGCACTTTTGCTTCCCAGGTTTGGGCACTCCTTTGCAGGCTGTGTCACTTGGTAGACTTTAGATCATTGTACTTTACCTGCTCCTGCTTACTTCCTATTTCCTCATCTGAGGCCATGAGACTCTCCTGCTCCCCGCCATTATATGCAGTATTTCTGCCCTGATGAACCTACAGTCCCTGATGCCTGGCCCCAAATAAACTGTTCTCAGCAACTGTTCCTGCCGAGTGTTTTGGTCACACTGATACAAAGAGCAGCACACTGCTTTCATGAGGAGACAAGTGTTCTACCCAGGCGTGGTAGATCACACTTGCTATTCCAGGAAGACTTGGGATTCGAGGACAGCCTCAGCTATATAGTGAGCCCACCTGAACTACATGGGGTCCTGTCTCAAGACAAAATAAATAAACATATATACGTTGTATACCATAAAACATAAATAAATGCAAAAATAGAAACATATAGGACACCAAAAAGTATGGATGAAGGAATTACACTGTATTAGCTAAAAGCTAAATCTGAGATAAGTGGCCTTAACTTCATATAAACAACTGCATAATGCTAGGGCGCCCAAGTGGCAGCATCAAACTGGGAAGGTGAGGCTAAATGTGGCCGCGGTTAGCTCATGAAGGGTCTCATACATCATGCAATGGAGGTTGGCTTGTTAGGGGAACATAGTTCTGGGTCGGGAGACACCAGTGCTAGGGAAACAGTGCTTAGGCTAGCAGACTAATGGAGTGACTTGTTTGTTTACTGCATGCATCCATTGTCTAATGTGTACAAGAGTGGTTCTCTGTAAGCTCCAAAGTTTTACCATTATTTTCCAAAAACAGCTAGAAATAATGATTACCTATCGTCTTAAAGCCACATTGCCTTTCCAGCTTTCAAGCCACAAGATTCAACCACAACTTAGAGTACTCCACTCTTCTCACTGTGAACAGGCCGTGGGAATGTTGATATTGTATACACATCGCATTGCTGACACCTGCTCAGCTCACCTGCAAACCCCGAGGCCCAGTCCTAAAGAGAACAGCTACGTGTACTCCATGCACTGCACAAACACCTTTTTATTACTTCCACAATTCTACCCTTGACTGTCTTCCTGGGATGCAGTTCCAGCGCTGAGAAAACTAAGGTCCTGAAAGAGTATGCTGAACTCACAGCCTTATTTCTCATAACATCCTTAGGTAATAAAATGTTTGGCTATGTGATGGCATTTCAAAACCTAAGGGTTGTTCTTATAACTCAACAGGCACATACCTCTGAAAAATCTTTGCAAGACTTCACTAACCCCAAATTCCACATTCAATATAGTCCAGAATGACAACAAGAATCTCAAACCTTCAAAGCCTACCAAGTTCAGAAAGGAGACCGACAGTAACTGAAAAGGCCCATACCCTGAACTGCATGTCTGACAAGGAAATTCTTTGTTCAGCCATTAAACAAATATGCTTTCCTCCCTTCACCTAGGGAAGACAATGACGGGCTCTCTCCAGCCAGCCTTCATGGCTCTCTCTACATTACACAACTGGCTACAGGGAATAGTGTCCCTTAAACCTGTTTCTACAGGAAAAACAGCAGCACGGGTCAGACACTAGACATCTACTCGACAAGTCAGACACACAACTGTGCGAGCTCAAAAAGAAGCTGCTGCTGTACAATCCAGGTGGTGAGCAGGGACCTTCTGAGACCATTTCCTCATACACGCTTTTGTTTAAAGAGCAAGCATAGAAACTCTCGCATCGTCTGACAAGTTCAGAGTCCTCTTCACATTTATGCTCTTACAAGCAACACATCCAAATGAGAAACTCTTCTGCTTTGGGGCCCAGACCTACACATCATTCTTAGGATGCATTCAACCCTTGCTATTGCAATTAACTTAGCCACAAAAGTTCAGTTAGCCCACTCTTCCCATAACTATACAGCACTGAGTGTATTTGTTATTGTATGATGGTGAAGAGTGCCGTCATCAGCTTGTTCAAGGCATAAAAAGGCATCAATTCTGCCCAGCCAATCCATCAATCATTTAATTAGATACCTTGTAAATTCTGCCTCCTGCAGAGTGCTCAAATCCATCTACAGTTTCCCACTACAAGCACCCGCGTCTAGCTGTCATCATCTCCTGCCTCTGCTCCTGGTACTCCTTAAGAAATTCTCCACTGTGATGAAGGTCACTGGTTAATTAATAAAGAGACTGCTTGGCCCTGATAGGTTAGAGCATAGGTGGGTGGAATAAACAGAACAGAATGCTGGGAGGAAGAGGAAGTGAGGTAAGACACCTCAGACAGACGCCATGCTCTGCTCTCCGAGGCAGACGCGATGGAGCCAGCCGCCAGGTCAGACATGCTGAATCTTCCCTGGTAAGACTGGTGCTACACAGATTATTAGAGATGGGTTGATCGGGATATGAGAATTAGCCAGTAAGGGCTAGAGCTAATGGGACAAGCAGTGTTTAAATGAATACAGTTTGTGTGTTGTTATTTCGGGGCATAAGCTAGCCAGGCAGCTGGGAGCAGGGCGGCAGGAATGCAACCCGCAGCTCCTACAGAATGAAGAGATATAGTAAAGACAACACCACTGCAGTAATGTGATCTCCAAAACTGGCCATGTTAAAAAGGACAAAAACAATTCTTGTTAAGCATAGGAAAATTGGGGGTGGGGGATGGGGGAGCCACTGTATTCTACCTGACCACTATCACATAAAATTACCTATCAACAGCAATAGAAACTACAGAAAGTAAACAAACTCCTGAAGACTAAACAATACACTACTGAATAACTCAATCATTGAAGAAATCAAGAAAAAAAATTTTTAAATCCCAGCACTGAAGGAAAATAAAAACACAACATAAATCTTGCATGTCTGAATCAAAAATCTATGATTAAGGAGATCATAGTCCCTAGAGAAGAACCTAATGTTGTTACAGTAAATGGTCATGATGCCTTCTAAATATATATTTATTCTCATTGTATAATTGCTTCCAACTTTGGTCAGAGATGCTTCTTTTTGCAGAGGGGAGTGGTTAACACAGAAACTCAGAATGGGTCAACATGCCAAGCTAAGCAACTGTGACTGCTCAGCTGTAGATGACCAACTATACTGACTTCCCAATCCAGGGCTCAGACAGCATCAGAGAAAAGAGAGCAGAGAGACGAGTAAAAGCTAGGAGATGAGGAGGAGAGCTGTGAAACGCTGACTTCTAAACATGACATGGTGCTGCACACATAAGTCAAGCATAAAATAGGAAGTGGCCCCAACCCTGGAGGAGCTATGCAGGAGGGTGGTTGTAAGGGAGAGAGGCAGGCACTCTCCTCTGAGGATGTCACTGCTAAGTTGTTGATATGCAATGCATGATGCCACACTCATATTCATATACAAAGCACGAGTTTTGCTCAGAGGGTTACTAATAACAACAAAGGAGGCCATGAAATTGTGAGAAAGATGGAGTAGGGGACAGTAGAGGGAGCTGAAGAAAGACAATAATGGGAGAATATGATCAAGATACATTGTATAAATATATGAAATTATCAGCAGATAAATAAAATATGTTATTTGAAAAACAAAAATGATAACTATACAGAAAGCATAAGACAGAACATTAAAAAATCTCACACGAGAGCTAAGGAGTAAACCCTTTATTAATGTCTCAGAAATTTTCTTCTAGCGTAAAAGCAGATTACTCATAAGCAGTGAGATCCTATTATAAATCATCTTTGTACTGTTTTGGGTTTGAGCCGGTGATAGTATTTGGTTTGGTTTAGCTTTTCTTTTTAAGATAAGATCTCATTATAGCTGGGCGGTGGTGGCGCATGCCTTTAATCCCAGCACTCGGGAGGCAGAGGCAGATAATGGTCCTGCTTAAGTCTCTAGGAAAATGAAACGGTTTTTTGACTATTACAATATCAAGCATGTTACAGGTATACCATACAATCCTACAGGTCAAGCAGTCATAGAAAGATCAAATCGAACTATAAAGGATATGTTGAATAAACAGAAAGGGGTGGAAAACACCCCCAGAAATAGGTTACATAATGCTTTGTTAACCTTGAATTTTCTTAACGCTAATGAGAAGGGGACAACGGCTGCAGAAAGACATTGGATAATGGAAAAGTCTACTGAACTAAATCAACCAGTTTATTTCAAGGATGTGCTGACCTCACAATGGAAGCCAGGAGATGTGCTGCGTTGGGGAAGGGGTTTTGCTCTTATCTCCACAGGTGAGGAACAATTGTGGATACCGTCAAAATTAATAAAGGTTCGGTATGAAGAAGAAAAGCCATTTGGAAAAGATAAATAACAATTCATTCACAAGGATGGCGAGCATACTGATGGTAAGGAATTCAGGTAGGTTGGGGGCAGGGTTTTTTTTTTTTTTTATCTCCACAGGAAAATACTGATCTTCAAAGAATTTAAGGGACCCTGAATATTTAATAACTGATGGATGGAAAATAGTTACGACCCACTAAGACTCAACAGTAACATGAGTAAGTATTGATTATATATATATTTTCTTTTTTCTCTTTGAACGCTTCTTTATAAATATGTAGAGCTGGTTTTGGAGTTGGACTATGGCTCAGTCCCTCTTCAATTCCAAGCCTGTTGATAAGAGATATCTCAGAGTTTCTGTCTCAGATCAGGAGCCATGAAATGGGACAGAATGAGGATAATTATATACTTGATAAACTTTCTTTGCTTTTCCTCATATCTGTGTCTTTCTTTATATGTCAGAATATGTCCTTGTTGTTAATGTTTAAATTTCCCATAACAAGCAACAAATTTCCCTACAGTAATTTTTGAAGTTTCCAGGATGAAGATGGGGCCCCACAACATCAACTCAACCTGGTTTTTATGACGTCATGAATATTTTTTTTCTTTTTCTCTTTTTTACGCGCTAATATGAGACCTGTTTTTTGGTACCAACTGCACAAGACAATTTCGAATGGTGCACATTTTTGACAACACTCTGGCCGGACCTTCTCAAAGTGCTCAGGGACTAGTTATAATTTTCTTAGGTCAAAGGTTAATTTGGGAATTTTACCATCATTTGCTTTCACAGGAGCCCCTAAGGAGAACATCGCCCCCATGTCAGCTTGAAGCAATCTTAGAGGACGACGTCCCCTCTCCCAACAGAGTTTGCCCTCAGGGTTAGGGACATCTTTTAGTGGTTGGTTTGGGGTTGAGGGGATGGGGAGATGTTTTATGGAATTAGGGGTATGTTCGAAAAAAAAAAAAGGGGGGGGGATTAACTGGTTTGATGGGATGATTGGTATTTGTGAGTTACTGTTTTTAGAAAATTGTATTGGTACTGTTTTCTGTATATTGACATATTGAATATTGAATGTGAGTGTTCCTACCTCTATTTTTGTATAAGAATATGCTTATATTGTATTGATACATCTACCATATCACAATGTACATTTCTACCTCTGATACTATTTATGTAATAACATTGTTTACATTTGATATGTAATGACATTGTTTACAGATGAAGATCATTGTCTTCATATATTGCACAGTTGTTTATTGTTTTAGTCTTTAAGTTAGATAGATATTGAGAATTATATAGATTAATAGTCATCTAAGTTTGTCATTTGTAATTAGACTAATCAGGTTCTTTAGATATATAGAGATTATACTCAGTATAGATAGATAATCTTCAACCTCTTTGGAGAGCTGTAGAATATGGCCTTTAATATAACTCAGAGTTTCGTGATAGTGAGACACAATTGCTCCTGGCAACACCGCTCTATTCCCGAGAGAACGTTGAGCACCAAAGACACTCCACTGGGAGCTTGTCTTCTTGGCAGAACTGGCCTTTGGGTTAAGAAAAGCCCATACCTCAACCACTGACAGAGATACAGAGCGTGCATCAATGGATACAACAGGACTGTCATATCCTGCCAAGACAGGGTAAGATAGTTTTGAAAAGTTCCTTGCCTTTAATAATGGTATGTCAGTTATGTTAGGCCTTAGCCAAAGTTGGTTGACTCAACATTGCAAACGAGACTTTGGGTGATTGCCCAGGTAGTCAGTTGTCTCTGTCAATTGTTACACATTTTGGATATATCTCGTTTGTTAAGTAATATTTATTCCCTTCTCGGATCTTTGATGGAGTTGAAGATTATATAATTGTAGTTACTCTCTACATTATTTAGACTCCTTGAGATAGAATGTTTAGCAAAACTTTTGATTCTCAATATTGTTTGTTATATTTATTATTTGTTATTATTGTATATAGTTGTATTTGGTTTAGTTCTGTCTTATTAAGACCAAAGGGGGAGATGTAGGGATAAGTCCCACCCCTTAGGGGGCGTGTTCACCTCAGGCTAAATTTTGCCTATAAATCTGGCAAGCGTGCTCTCAGCGCTCGCTTCTGCTTTCCTGGTCTCCGCAGGAACGGTGGTTCTGTAAGTCTATTCCTCCATTAAAGCTGTCTATATTTTGACAATCTGTCTGCATTCACTTACGCCGTTACACTGCTTCTTGACTTTTGTGTTCAGTAAGCATTAGGAAGTTTTCAACTAAAATCACATACATGTTTCGTCAATGCCCACTTTATAAGTCACATGACTATACTGAAGTAAAAGCCCTCTCCTCAAAGACAATCATCATTAATCATCTCTTACTCTCTTCACGGATTATCCCCTATTTAAGTATATGTCTCAAACATACTTTCTTTTTATACATTAATTTTATTAGACACACACAGAGGACAACTTGTGGAAGTTGGTAATCTCCTACGAGGGCCCAAACTCAGACAGCAAGCACCATTACCCATTGAGCAATTTCTCTATCCCATATTAATTTTTTTAATGCAAAATGTTGTCACTTGCTTTTTTAATAATATACATCTTTTCATATCAATATACAATAATATCAGAATGGTATTTTAGAAAGCAAATTTTTTGAGTAGCCATAAACATACCTGTTTTGTAGGCACCACCTACAGAACTCGTTTTTCACTCCATCAGAAATGTTGACCTTCACTGTCAGTATCTTCAAATTCTCTCCACGGTTAATGGCCAGAATCTGACACAAACATATGGCAAAGACGGATGATCAATAAAACAAGATAAACTTAACGAGTCTATATTTATAAAAAAATAATTAAGCATCTATCTAGCTAAGAACATATCATTTTTATTTTTTATTTACAAAGGAATGTATTAAAAACAATTTATACACTCTTAAACTAATACATCTCTCTTATAAAGAAAATCATAGGGCTGGAGAGATGGCTCAGCGGTTAAGAGCACTGCCTGCTCTTCCAAAGGTCCTGAGTTCAATTCCCATCAACCACATGGTGGCTCACAACCATCTGTAATGAGGTCTGGTGCCCTCTTCTGGCCTGCAGGCATACAAGCAGACAGAATGCTGTATAAATATAAATAAATAAATAAATAAATAAATAAATAAATAAATAAATAAATAAAAGAAAATCATAATGAGAGCTGGGAAATGGGTCATTGTGTGCTAGACAAGCATGAGAACCTAAGTTAAGATCTCCCCAAACCCACATAAAGGTATGCACATGGGCACATGAACAAACACATGCAGACATACTACCTTTTTAGTTATTTTTATGACTGATATTCCGAATTATGCCAATTGATTAAAAAGAGCTCATGATTATCTTAATAGACTCAGAAACATCTGATAAAATCTAGCAGACCTTTCTGATGAAAGCACTCAATAAACTGAGAGCTGAATGCATCTTCTTAAACATGGAAATCAGAGACAGGGGAAGAAACTGAAGCTACAACTACGTATCGATATAAGGCAGAAGTACAGCAAAGGAGGTAGGTCAACAGTGAGAGAAGCAGCAGAAAAGAACAAGGATGCAAGGTGTCCTGAAGAGTGCAAAGAACGAGGGGTAAAGCCATGAGCTAAGGATGAATTCGCAGAGGAAGGAAGGAAGATGCAGATGGGATGATGAACAGACAACAGCTACGGCAGTGCTGCTTTCCCATGGCCTGTCAGCATGCCAGATGATAAAAAGCAGGGTTCACTACCTCAGATACTAGAAACTAGCTATGACCCAGCAGCAACCCTCGGGCACACAAGAACCTGAAAAGCCCTTAAAACACAGAGTGTTTTTCAAACTAGCATTTTAAAAGGACTCTGCTTTCTCAGGCTTGAGTATTATCATCTCCAGAAGACTGTATCAATCATAAATAAATACCAGGTATGGCATGTATAAAACAAAATATTGTTTAAATACATACACACACAGACAAAAATATGATACCAAAATCATTCTTGCAAAATGAATTTTAGTAAATTCATATGATCACTGATACATTTTTAGATATATATATATATAGTGTGTGTGTGTGTGTGTGTGTGTGTGTGTGTGTGTGTGTGTGTGTGTGTGTGTATAATATGGAATGGAAGAAGACAGGGCCTCCCACACTCTAGGCAACCACTTTACCAGAACTATGCCATCAGCCCTCACTGTGAGTAATACTGCAAGTCACTGTTTTATTTTCCTATATTTGTAATCTAAAACTAAGTAAATCCATCTCCATTACATCTAAACTTTATAAATTATGTGTTTCATCACCTATAACAAATCCAGGGCACAAAAAAGTAAAATAAGCAACTTTAGACAAAAAGTAATGGGGCTGGAGAGATGGCTCAGTGGTTAAAAGCACTTGCAGCTCTTACAGGGGACCAGAGTTTGGTTCCCAGCACCCACATAGAGGTTTACAACCATCTGTAAACTCCAGTTCCGGGGAATCCAGTATCAGTGTCCTTTTCTGGTCTCTGTGGGCAAACAGGCATCCCATGTGGTGCATATACATATATGCAAGCAAAAAATTTATACACATAAAAGTTAAAAAGTAATTATAAAGTAATGAACTATTTCACTTTTTCAAGGACAGTGCCCATGTCATCACCAAACCTCAAAATCCACCACAATATGAGTACTCAAGAAATACTTGCGGGATGAATGAATCGTGTTACAATGAGAAAAAAGGTGAGTTTCATGTTTGCATAACCATATATTTAAAATTACATTGTAATAATCAAATAATTAATTATCACACAAAAGATAAAGAATTCTATTAGCTCCTCTACACAGGCTGTAAAATGTGGACAGGGAGAAAATCATTTTAAAATGTTTCATGAGGACCTTCACCTTGGGAGAATACTGGTAGTCTCTCAATTCAAATCACCCCCTTGCCTCTCAAAAGAACCATAAAACCAACAAAAATAATAAATGAAATAACACAAGACATGTTTGCATCCATAGAACACAGAGAATTGGACTGACATCAGATTTCTCACATATAAAACAGTATTCAAATTTTGGGATGGCCAGTTCACAACACTGTGAGTCACTAAATGGTACACACATGGTGAAGAGTGTACATTTTACACTGTGGACATTTTACAACAGTTACAGTTAAAAAGAAAAATGAATTATAACTCCCAAGCAAAATAAAATCTATGGCAGTCTAACTTTATTAGACCTGCTCCACATGAAATATTAGTGTTGCTAAGGCTGGAATGAAAAACGCTAACCCACAGCTCAAAGCCATAAAAAGAAATATAGAACACTGGTTATAGTAACTATATATGTAAACAGAAAAAACAGTACATTGTAATTTTCTCTTGAAACACCTCTCCTGCCACTGTGCTATTTAAATTACATTCTGCACAGTACACTGCCTATGACCACATTTAGTAAAATAAATAAATAGATATTTAGGGAGATACAAGCTAAAAAACGAAATCAGAAGGCTGAGGTATAATGACTATGTATGATTCATGAAACCAAATGAGACCATATATACTGTATTCTAAATCAGGCATTGGACTGTAATTGTCTTGGGAATGATCTGTGCTCACACTAAGCACACTGAAAGCAGGGTCTAATGGACCTCTGTAGTGATACTTCATTTGTATTTTAATAAATAAAATTTTCCTGAAGTTCAGAGAGTAAAACAGCCGCACTGATCAGCCTTACGGACCAGGCAGGGACGACACACACCCTTAATCCCAGTAGCCACACTAATTTACCATAGAAACCAGGCAGTTGTAGTGCAGGCCTTTAATCCCAGCACTAGAGGGGAATATAAAACTGGAGGAGACAACGCTCACTCACGTAGTCTCCTTCTGAGATTCCTGGAAGCAGGATCGTCATTTCAGACTGAGGTAGGGATAAGAGCCAGTGACTGGTTGTTTGCTTTTCTGACCTTCAGGTTGAACCCTAATTTCTGTCTCTGGGTTTTTATTAATCGTGCTTCAGACCTCACCAGACAGATGCAAGTGATGTGGGTTTTCACACTGTCAGCTCTAGTAAGAATTTCCAGTGTCACTGACTTCTCAGGGTCTTCAGTTCTCCATTTGTGAAGTCAGAAAATATAATATTTTTACAAGTTTTATATAAACTAATAAAATAGTTGGCATAAAACTTCTAAATTTTTAATGAAAGTATTATCATTATTACTACTGTCGGAGGCAGTGTTCTTATTTACCTGGTGATGATGGATGTTCCTTATGTTGCAGGAAAAGTTCTGGTAAAGTTGAAACTTACCAACATCTTTTTCATTTACTTTTTTTGAGGATACTTTTGCAAGAGATGACTGGATACAAATGTATCTATGTTGGCACCTGATCAGATATACAAATATTAAAAATCAAACATTTATGTGTGCTTTACATTTTATAAGTTTATATGAAATGAAGGAAAGAAAAATGTTAAGCCATTACTAAATGAAATTTGACTAATGATGCCCAAGTAAGAAACTGACATTACTATCCCATCAAAAGGACTCTGCCAGCTTGCACCTTTAATCTCAACACAGGAGAACTCTGAGTTAGAGGCCAGACTGGTCTACATAGCAAGTTCCAGGGCAGCTAGGGCTATACAGGGAAATCCTGTCTCAAAACAAATAAACAATCATACTAGCAGATCAATCTATGCATCAAAACAAACCATCGAAAATGCCTGAGTTCAGATAATATCTATGAACACAAAATGCTGAAATGACTGATAGGAATCAAACCAATCATCTAGTCACACTTCTCTAGTCAGTTAGGGAGTCACTGTCAACTTAAAAATAAGAAGGGGCAAAAGGAGTACCAGAATAATATGGAAAACTGGGACACTAGGTTAAGCAGTGGTTCTCAACCCTTTTGGAGCTGCATATTATATTTATACTACAACTCACAGCAGTAGCAAGACTACAGGTATGAAGTAGCAATAAAATTTTATGTTGGGGTCATCACAACATGAGGAACTACATTAAAGGGTTGCAGAATTAGGAAGGTTGAGAACCGCTGGGCCAAAGAGATGGCTCCGCTGTTAAAGGATAGGCTCACAACCAAAACTATAAAACTGGTACATAAAAAGAGAGGAAGAAAGAGAGAGGGAGGGAGGGAGGAAGGGAGAGGAAGGGAAGGAGAGAGAGGGAGAATAAGAATGGGAAGGGGAGAAGGAAAGAAAGGGGTTTTAAATCAATGTCTGTCATAGCCAGAACCTGGAAACAACCTAAATGCCCCTGGACCAAAGAATGGATAAGGAACTGTGATACATTTACACAATACATAGCAGAACAAAATAACGACATCTTGAATTTTGCAGGAAAATGGATGGAGCTGGAAAACATCATTTTGAGTGAGGCAACCCAGACACAGAAAGACAATTATCACATGTACTCACTCATAAGTGGTTTTTAAACATAAAGCAAAGAGAACTGGCTCACAAATCACAATCTCAGAGAACTTAGACAACAATGAGGACCCTAAGAGAGACATACATAGATTTAATCTACATGAAAAGTAGAAAAGTACAAGATCTCATGAGTAAATTGGGAGCATGGGGACCTTGGGAGAAGGGAAAGGGAGAGGCAGAGAGGGGAGCAGAGAAAAATGTAGAGCTCAATAAAAATCAGTAAAAAAAAAAAAGAAAAAAGTCAAAGTCTGTCTCTGTACTACTGCCCTACCCCTCTGTCTCAGTATCCTGCCTCTGCCTCCCCAGTGTTAGGATTAAAGGCTTGTGCCACTATACCTGATTTAAAGGCTCTTTCACAGAAGATCAAAACTGTAATCCTAAGTAAGCTCTGACAAAAGCCCTCCACCCTTCTAAAACTAGACTGTGATGCCACAGCCGAGCTGTTCTCTCCAAGAGCAAAAATGCACTTTGGACCAGTATTTCCATCCATACCTGCCATCAAACATTGTCAAGGCAACCCAACACAGACATAATGATTGGTTTATCAATTTAGCTGGATTTAGAACACCCAAGAGATTAGTGAGGCATGCGCAGGACATTGGCATGCCTGTGATGGTACTATCAAAGGGGAAGGACTAGGAAAGACAAACCATAGATGTGGGCAGCACCATCCCATGATGGAATGGTTGAATAAGGGGAAAAGGAAGAAAGGCAGCCAGCACTGCTGCCATCATGTGAACTGCTCAGCTTCACCAAACCCACTTACCATGATGATGGCCTGAGCCCTCTGAAGCCATGAGCCAAAGTAAAACTTTCCTCCATTAAGTTGTTTACACCAGGCCTCTCACCACAGTGACACAAGAGGAACTAACAGAACAGTAAATCCCAGAAAGGATCAACAAACTATCACACAAAACAAAAGCAATGCCACCTGCTCCAAAGGAACACAAACCCTCTCAAATAACATCTTGTCAAGCACTGGTTAAATTGTATTCATCCAAGTCTCCACTGGAGTATCTGAGGATAAAGAGGACAGGAAGGCAGACTACCAGGCTCTCTTACCATAATCCAATTAAAACAACTTAAACTGGGCTGGACAGATGGTTCAGCAGTTAAGAGTACCAGCTGCTCTTCCATATGACCAGGGTTCAATTCCCAGCACCCACATGGCAGCTCACAACTGTCTGTGACTCCAGTTCCAGGGGACCTGACACCCATGGCAAAACATCAATGCAGTTAAATTAAAAAATTAAAAACAAAACCAACTTTAACTATTTTACATATTAGGGTTGTACTGTTTGAGCAAATTTAGTTTAAAAATAAAAAGCCTGAAGACCAGCTTTAAATGAACACATGGTTAGCACTAACCATGGGACCTTAATAGTGTGAATCCCACAAAACAGAAAGCCCCCCCCCAAAAAAAAATACTTACAAGTCCCGAATGAAGTGAAGCGTGTCCTTGTCTTTAGCAATCATGTCTGCTAGAATGTGTTGTACTCCTGTCTCAATATCCTTGAGCTCAGACAGGCCTTTAGGAAGGTAGGAGACCAGAAGCAGGAAGTATAAGATTGGCTGTAAGGTCTATAATTAGACACAATAAACTAAATTCCAGTTAATATAAAATCTTAAGCTAACAAACTTAGGAAAGAAAACCCCATAGGAGTGACTCACTTGCACACCCAAAGCAGCACAGCTCTAGGAGCGATATGCAGGGCCTTTCCCAACACTGTGCACCGGTGAGCACTAAGCTGCTCGGCTCTGGGCTCTACCACCTACCAATTCTGGGACCTAGAAGAGGTTATATTTGCATTCTCTGCCTCAGTTTCCCTTAAACATTGAGTAATTATTACTTCTCTCATCTAGTTACAAAGATTAAATGTTGTACGAAACATGTATGCATCAATCATAACCCAAGATACGAAATTTTATGGGTTATAAAAATTTGCCCTTTCAAGCAATTTCATTAATATTGATATTTTAGCATGAGGCATTTCCAGGTTGTAAGTGATTCATTTGAATTTCTCATATTTCATAAAGACAATCCCAGACTTCACGGGGCAACGTCTACAGGCAGTCCATGAAATAGCTGCAAGGGTATCATGGCAGACAAGAAAGCATTTGCATTGTGTTCTTTCATTTCTCTTGTCTTCATTGTTTCATTTGCATTGTGCTGTTGTGAATTTACATCAAGGCTTGAATTACAGAAGCACTAAATGTCATAAGTATGTTTTTCTGTGATCATAGTTTTCATGAGTAAAAGGTAGAAAAAACAAAGCACACAGGACAACAAACTTATTCTGGCATATTTAGTAAAGACAAAAATACCTACTTGGTTGTGTTATAATAATTTATGGTAATACTGAAGTAGTACTTACTTTAAAGAAACATGAATTGAAATTAATAAGAATTCTACTTACACTTTAGAAGAATTTCTATATGAGGAAAAATTTAGCAACAAATTACTTTTACAATATGGAAACCTGTATATGCTAAGGATTTAGAATGGTTGTAGCACACAGTATGAATTCATATGCTACTATTCTCCCTGGATGGATCTTGAGCTAAGAAAACTATTCACTCTGCACTAACAACTAGAGCCTATAGTGATATTTTATTTATGTTTTAATAAAACTTGCCTAAAAATCAGAAGGGCACAGCTAAGTCACTATAAATCAGGCAGTGGTGGTACACACCTTTAATCCCAAGATTTGAGAGGCAGAGGCAGACAGATTTCTGTGAGTTCAAGGCCACCCTGGGCAACACAAATTCAAAGCAGAAACAAATCCAGGTGGTGGTGGTGGTGGTTCACACTTTAATCCCAGTACCGGGAGCCATGCCTTTAATCCCAACACTAGTCTTAGTCTGTGGTGCAGCCTTGGTAGAGGTAAGACTTACCTAATGGCGTGGCTGTTTTGCTTTTCTGGTTTTCGGGTTGAACCTGAATGTCTCTGGGTTTTATTGCTCGTGTGACAGAGGCCCCAAGCACCTCCGAGTACCATCACACAGAGAAGTACACCACCAGGGCCACAGCTCAGTAGTACAAGTGTCTACAGTGAAACACTACTGAAGGCAGGGAACTGAAACAAAGGGCAAGTCTGCAGCAACAACAGAAGGGCCTCGCCTCGGGGAAGAGCACCCCTAGGAAGTCTCACACACGCATCGAATCTTTATAATTAAAATTACCATAGTCTAAGGACTGTCTTTGGGTCAAAGCTGCAGGTTCTTAGACAGCAGGAGCAATGCAGATGACGGACAAAAGCTTTGTACAACCACTGCTAGGAAGAGTCCATGTCACCTATCTAGAGCAGTGGCTCTCAGAGGAAGGCAGAAATTACAAGTCATCTGGGCAGTCTTTCCTATTGCACGCCTATCTGCTCTAGACAGAAAGACTGGAAACACTGTCCACGTGTCTGAAAAAGCCCCACTCCTGGGTGTTCTTTTAAGCTGACTACAGGCTCCAAGATGAGCATCTCAAGACAAAAAAGGAACAAAGAAGGAACCAGAAAAATCAAATAATAAAATTTATACAGTAACAGGATCTGAGACGTCTTGGAATAACAACTGTGACTACAAAAAATTTGAAAAGCCAGCATTTCTTTCATCTGTACCAGCACCATCAGGCCCATCAACACAGAGATGCTTGGATCCCAGGACGATGCCCATCTGTGGTACAGTATAGATTTTCATTCAGATCAAGTTCTTAGTCTGCAGAAAGTAAGAAATGTCTACTACTGAGAGAGAAAAGAGAAAAACAAAACAAAACCGAAATATCTGGCTTTCAGAAATATTTCTCTGAAGAATACTGGGAATTATTAAAATATTTCTTTAGAAAAAAACAACATGGTAATAGAATTGAGAGTGATCATGTGCATGTGCAGAACATGAAGAGTGATCATGTGCATGTGCAGAACATGAAGAGCGAGCGGGAAGTGAGAAGGAAGGAACATTTCAAACAAAATTTAAAAAGCAGCGTGTGGTGGTTTGAAAGAGAATGTTCCCATGGCATCCGAACCCTTGGTCCCCAGCTAGAAGAGGTACTCGCTGGGACAGGCTTTGAGTGTTTACAGCCTCACACTACACTCAGTTTGCTCTGTGCGTCATACCTGTGGTTGAAGATGTGAGCTCTTGGCTTACTGCAGTTGCCTACCCATAAAAGACTCTGATCCTTTTGGAACTGCAAGCTAAAACAAACTCTCTTTCCCAGAAGTTGTTTTGATGGTAGTGTTTATAACAGCAACAGAAAAGTACTAACACAGTACATAGTTATTTGGAACTAAGCGTAATTCTCTGTATATGAGATTAGATAAAGCCCAGAGAAAGTCCCACCCCACTGTGTCTGTAAGAACCACAGTGACAGCCAGGCAGTGGTGGTGCATACCTTCAATCCCAGCACTCAAGAGGCAGAGGCAGGCGGATCTCTGTGAGTCTGAGGCCAGCCTGGTCTACAGAGCTAGTTCCAGGACTGATGTGGGAGTGTCATATATCAGTCTGTTGATTTCATTGATTAAGCAATAAAGAAACTGCTTGGCTGGCCCTGATAGGTTAAAACATAGGTGGGAGGAGTAAACAGAATAGGATGCTGGGAGGAAGAGGAAGTGAGCTCAGACTCTGCTCTGCTCCCGGACAGACTTGACAGCTCTGCTCTCTGGAGCAGAGACGCCAGGCTCCGCTCTCCCAGGCAGCTCCGACCCAGGATGGACGTAGGCTAGAATCTTCCCGGTAAGCGCACCTTGGGGTGCTTACACACATTATTAGAAATGGGCTAGTCCAGGTGCGAGAATTAGCCTGTAAGGGCTAGATAGAAATGGGCCAAGCAGTGCTTAAATGAAAATACAGTTTGTGTGTTGTTATTTCGGGGCATAAGCTAGCAGGCAGCCGGGATGCTGGGGACGCAGCCCCGCCGCTCCTATTTCAACACAGGACAGACCCCAAAGCTACAGAGGAACCCTGTCTCAAAAAAAAAAAAAATTACAGTGACAAACCAATTTGTCACTATTTGTAAAATTAAATAAATAAATTTTGTAAAAAGGCTGTGGACAGGATAATTTCATCTGAGGAGAAGGACATGGGGAGCTAAAGAGATGGCTTGTGGTTAAGAGCGCTTGCAACTCTTACAAATAACAAGAATTGAGGTCCCAACCACTGCTACTCCAGCTCCAGGGGATCCAACACCCTATTGTTGCCACAAGCACCTGCATTTATGTGCACAGACACATACAAATAAAAACAAAGTCTTTAAAAAAAAAAAAAGAGAGAGAACCACAGTGTCAATGGTGGTCCTGAGCTAGTCACATGATCAGAAGTGTCACTACCTGGTGTCAACATCATGTATCCCATATATCATCATATGTGACAATTAAAAGGGATGTAGAATAGGATTTATGTTTACACTATAGAACAGTGCTGCTTTTAGCTCTGGCCGAGAAGCATCTTTGCAGTAGGCGGAAGCTCATACAGACTCCTAACTAATCACAGTGTTGACAGTAAGTGACTGTGGAGTGTGTCCCCTTAAATGGACCCCACAAATCCTGAGAACAGAAAAGGGGGCAGATGGGGAAGAGGGCTGTGAAATGCTGAGTCTGGGACATGACATGGCCACTGTACTCCTGAACTCACTCCTGTTATGGTTCTCTGCACAAGGTCAAGCCAAGAAGATCAGTCAATATTCCAGCAGGAGCAGTAATAGACACAGTAAGTTATATAACAACAAAACAAAAACAGCAACAAAAGCAAAAGGAGGAAACATGAGGGATGAAAATGGGATGAGCACATGTTGAGGAGTTGCCAGGGCAGTGAGAGGAGGGAGGTGGGTGGAGACAGATGAACCTATCGAAGAACAAAAGAATTTTTTTAAGAGAGATGGTTATCAAAGGCCTGTTTGGTAGGAATGCAGTATACCTGGCAACCAAAGAGACCACTGTACCAAAGAAGACAGGAAAACAGAAGGCAAAGAATCAGCCACAAGGAACAATAGGCAGAAATCTCACTGCAGCTGTTCTCCGTTGTGGGCAGACCGCCCCCGCCACTACAATAACTCTAAAGGTTGGACTACTCAGGCTCAGCTACAGTTAACATATGAAATGCAATCAGCAAAAGGAAGGCCTGGGTCTGCAGGAGAAAGGGCATGCACAGGGACCTGGGTCCATCCCCAGCACCCCACCCAGAGAACAAATGTGTAACTAAATGAAGCAACGTATAGCAAATCAAAAATTAGAAACTAAATGTAAATCATTGAAAATACAACTACAAATAGCACTAAAAATTAAACACATTTGGATTGTATTCACTTTAATCCATCTCTAACTTCAAATAATTCTTTCCATTACTGTCCTTTCCCAAACAAATTAAAATGTATATGTTTCTGTGAACAGATCATTCGTATTTTACGGACACATATACTCAATTTTTAAAATCATAAATTCACATTTTCTAAAATATGGCTGATATATTTCTCTATAATTATGGACATGGCATGGATTTTGTTATCACAGACTGCCCCCTGTTGATGTGTGAGTCTTCCAATTTAAAGGATCAACAGAAAGTAAAAGAAAAACTAGAACTGGGATGGAGAAATAAAGACTAGGGTTGGAGTTAACTTGCAGTTGTATGGGCTAAGTAAGCCTGGAAATCTAATGTACAGCATAAGGATTTCATTCATTATACAGCATACTAGCATTTGGCTAAGAAATAAATTTTAGGTGCTCTTATCACCAAAAGAAGAAAAAAGTAAGCTGTGTCAGACAGTACACATATTAATTTCATTTCAGGTCAATTTTGTTTGACTATAGAAATTACTTAATTTTGCATATATATCAAAACACATATTTTGATATATATAATTACTTAAAAAAAAGAACCAATTTTTTTTGAGAAATCTATAATTTCACTTTGAAGATGAGGCAAGAAAACTGCAAATTCTAGTCCAGACTGAATAGTAAGCTTCTTAAAAGCAATAATCTTTTAGATCTTTCTCTTGTACCCTGTCTCACTCTCTCTCACTCACAAAGGCCAGAATATATTTGGAAGCAAATTTTAGACAAAGTCCCCTTATTACTTAGAAACAGAAATATAAGAGCAGGGTCCAATCTGTACTTTGTGCATGCCAGGTGTATTAAAATTCTTTCTGAAGAGATCTGAGTTATATGGATTTTTTTCAAAAAAAATCAGAAATAAAACAAAAGCTTTGAAAGATAATGAGAATCTTTATAATCTTGGGATATGGAGAGGTTTCATTTAAAAGTAAAATGTCAATTATCTTAAAAGATTAATAAATTAATAATAAAACCAAGACCTTCTATTAACCAAAGATGGCATTAAGAAGGACCAAGTAGGGGCTGGAGAGATGGCTCAGAGGTTAAGAGCATTGCCTGCTCTTCCAAAGGTCCTGAGTTCAATTCCCAGCAACCACATGGTGGCTCACAACCATTTGTAATGGGGTCTGGTGCCCTCTTCTGGCCTGCAGGTATACACACAGACAGAATATTGTATACATAATAAATTTAAAAAAAAAATTAAAAAAAAAAAAGCAGCCAGTGCTCTTAACTGCAGAACCATCTCTCCAGCCCCCAAAACCCTGTCTTGAAAAACTAAAACAAACAACAAACAAAAAAGTCTTATGTTCAGCTCAGTTTGTTCTTTNAACCACATGGTGGCTCACAACCATTTGTAATGGGGTCTGGTGCCCTCTTCTGGCCTGCAGGCATACACACAGACAGAATATTGTATACATAATAAACAAATGTTAAAAAAAAAAAAAAAAAGAACCAAGTAGGAAGTGGGGAAATGTGTGTTGCGAGAAAACACTTGGAAATGCAGAAAGAAAATGGGAGAGGCACGACAGCTAAATGACTATAGAGTGGGGAGGTCATGGGAAACAAAAGGCTGGGCGACTTGTCTGTTAGAATCACCTGCTCTTTACCTGCTGTTACTAGACGTGTTTAATGTAAATGTGTGCATTCTAAAAGCTAAGCATCAGCAGGGCTGACGGCTTGTAGGGAGCCAGTACCTTTAACACCAGGCTTGACGTAAGACAACAGGTTGAGCTGTCCCGGGTTTTCCAGCAGTAGCTGCGCTGCTCCTTCTAGTCCCAGCTGTTTTGCTCTCTGGGCTTTGGTGCCTTTGCTCCCCGTTTTATATGGAGCAGACTAGGAAGAAAAAGGTAGAGAATACATAATAGCAGTCTGTTTTCAAAGCTTAAATTAAAACAAGGCTGCAGGGCTAGAGGACATGCTGAGAACGCCACAGACATCCTTCTCTCTGCTCTGCCCTCTCCCTTCAGAGATGAACTCATATTAACTAGCTAAGATTACGGGAGTGTTATGTGTCATAGATTTGTCTTTGTAATTTTCTATGTGCTTGATTGGATTTACTCATCTAAAAACCTCCTCATCTAGATGTCGAGTTGAATTACCCTTCACTCACTCACCAGGCCTTCTTCCTCCAGATTCTCTTCATAGTTGCCCAGTGGTCAACCCTGACATGCTCATGAATTCTTGCCGCTCATAGCTTCTAATAGGAGCCAACCACAGAACCCATGAGGGCCTGGCCTCTGTGCACAGCAAGTTCCCTATGGAGAATGGTGTGGTGCTTCCACACAGCCTCTGTACTGCTTCTTGTCAACACCAGTCCCCTCTAGATAACTCAGATTTGTTAGAGTACATTATTTAGGTGAGGGTATGTTTTTAAAGTATGTACCTGTTCAATACAGACAATGTTCTTCAGATATTTTCCATCTGTGGTTGACTGAGCACACAGATGTGAAACCAACAAGTAACTATGGTGGCAGCTATGCCAACTACAGGCTGCAGAACGCATGTCTTGATCTCCGGCTGTGCCATCTCCTTTGCATTCTACGCTTTGACAACCTGCTCTACTTCCTTATGTGACTAGAAATTCCTTGAGGGCAAGAACTATTTACTACCATATGTGTAAACCCAAGTTCCTGGCACAGATGAAAAGGTATTCAGTAAATATATATTGACTAAAGGACAAAAACCCTGATGAATTAAGTAACAGTGGCCAATGGCATTAGCTCTTTATGGCATGGTCTTCCTCAGTGGTAAAAAGATCCCCCAAATCATACATATTTATGCATTACATTAAAAGATAAAGTTCCTTACCACGTGTTCTAGTTCTTCAAATGTTTTACAGTTCAACAAGGCTTTTAGCAAGCACTCAGACATCTTCCCCTCCTTCTTAATTTTCTGGATTGTACTATGAACCTTCTTTGCAACCGTCCTGAAATAAAAAACTTACATAAGATATACGACCCACATGTCCGACCTCTCTTCTCAAGGCTATCTCACATTTCAGAAAAGTGCAGGGAAAGTAAAAAAAAAAAAAAGACAAAATTGCTTTATCTTTGACACACTTGACAGACGAGAACTTCACCCCCAAATACTTTAGCCTGCAGTTCCAAGAGAGAATAATATATAAGTCACAATAAAAGTGTCAGTATCAGGAAGTTAGCCCTGACCTATCACTATGCTCCTCCTCGCAGACCTGAGGCCTTTTAAGGTTTCAGCAACAGTGCTGATGAAGGCCTCTGTGGAGTCTCACCAGAGCAAGTGTAGCTGTCAGATGCAGTCTCTTCGAGTTGAAGCAATGTTCCAGGCTCTCCTGGATTCTAAAAGTCTCATACTTTGAAATGTTCCCTACCAGTTACTTTGTAGTGTCTGCAAGCCTTCAAGGGCTCCTGTGATGTTACCTTACAGTTAACCTGAGGCCTCCTGGCAGGAATATCATCCAAGTGAGACTTTATACTACATCTCATTGAGAGACAAAAGATCTTAGTGTAGCCTTCTACTAACAGACTGTGACCTAGGAAGAGGACACTTGTGGTTTCTGATATAAGCATCCTTTTTCCCTTTGTAACCGATACGCACTTTGTGGAGGGATGGATATTTTGAGACCATCTTATTCCTCACCAAACCTCTGATGTATTCACTGATTTATTCTTATCACTATAGACTTCTGGCTTATTTTTTATTTAGTGGTTATAATTCACCATTGTGACATATTTACTGTTCAAATTATCCTTGGCTTGGCCAGAAGTAACCCTTTCAAGCTAACTGCTATGTTTTTGACTTGTTCCTCTTACTCTCTGAGTACTTCTTTATTCTCTAAAACAAGATATCCCAGCTCACCTTTTACTTTTCTCCTAAGCATTGAAATCCTAAGGCTGCCGCCTGGACATCTATTTGACTATTACATGTGCTCACTGGTACTGGAGCAATATTGCTCAGGATGGGCACATGTAGCACACATAACTGGTTCCTAAGTACTATTCTCCACTGATAAAGAACTGGGACCCATGCAGAAGAGCTGATTCCGGAAATCAATACAGATGAATCAATACACAGATGGGGCAAGAGGAATGGCAGGCCCAGCAGGTCCTATAATTTTCAGTCAATTTTTTTCACTGTGAATGTGTAATCCTGCTGTATATGTCATACTCACCATCTTATTTCATTACCTGTTCTTTTTGTTTATTTGTTTGTTTTTGTTTTTTGAGACAGGGTTTCTCTGCATAGCTTTGGAGCCTGTTCTGGAACTCACTCTGTAGCCCATGCTGGCCTCAAACTTACAGAGATCCACCTCCTTCTACCTCCCAAGTGCTGGGATTAAAGGCATGCACCACCATCGCCTGGCTCATTATCTGTTCTTATTTACAAAATCTGCCTAACAGTGGTATTGGTAGTGTGAAAAAGGTGAGTACCAATATGCATACATTAACCCTAGGCTCTTGACTTCAAATTCCTGCTGCCTTGATTTCCCTACAATAGTGGACTGTAACCTGTAACTATGAGCAAAATAAGCCTTCTCTCCCTTCAGTTGCTTTTGTTAGGGTATTTATCACAGCAGTAGAAGAAGAAACCAAGACAATATCTCTTCCTAAAAAAAAAAATCATTGGCAGCACCATAGAGTATCATTTTCCTTTATGATCACATGGCTGACTGGGAGCAGCATCATAAGAGTCACTATAGCATCTTGTCAGCCCAGGATTTAAAAAAAAAAAAAAAAGGTAATATTCAAAGTAGAGTTTCTATTGAATGCTTATGGTTTTGAGTATCATGAAGATACAAAATTAAGACACTCTATTATAGATTAAAGACCACCTATACTGGCAAGAACTCTCCATTTGGGGACTGTGGAGTGCTAAGATTCTGCCACGATAGTCAATCATTTCAACCTACCCCATAGATTCACGTCCAACTCCATGGCCTAACTAAGAAAACAAACCTGACTACTCTGGCAAAAGAGGTCTACATTTAGACGACAACAATTAATAAAAACAAAGCACTGGGACTGCGAAAATAGTAACTAAAGTCCCCTTGTCTGCCCTCGTGTGCTCAGAGATCCACCACTCCCTCGGGCTTCTTACCGTAGCTCATCTAGGGTCTGGCGAACTTCTCTCAAGGAATCGGCATCGAGGTTATTAACGAGCTCTTTTCGATAGCGTATAATGAAGGGAATTGTATTGTCATCATTAAAGAGGCGTATGATATTGGCACAAACCCAAAGTTCAATATTAGTTCTCTCAGATAAAACCTGCAAAGAAAGAAAAGGTGATTCAAAATCCTATGGCCTATAATCCCAAAACTTTGAAGGCTGAGACAGGAGGACTACCAGAAGTTTGAGGCCAGCCTGAGCCATGAAGTAAGATCCTATCCAAAATCATCATCACCCAGATGAATAAAATCAGGCCAAAACGTATGATAGAATTGTTTACAAAACTACAGACGCAGTAAATGGCTGAACCCCAGAGACCATACAGATACCTCACTTCCTAGTCATCTTGAATATTGATCCTAAATCTCAGCAGTCATTCTAAGGGATGAATATCAAATCTCTGATGAAGACATTAAATTCTATCTCCAGGCATAGCTCTTTTCCATATTGCCACCGAACCCATGACCAATTATTTAAGACAATATCCCAGAAACCTAATGGGTATCTCAACCCTGCACTTGTAAAGTCATTCTCCTCTCAAAACTACTCACCCTCCACTTTTCCTCATGTGCTGCTATCTATTAAATAGTAATTCAAACTAGAAGAGTCATCCACCTCCAAATCTTAAGTCTGATTCATTATAAGAACAGTAAACAAAAGTTACAAAATATTTCTTTATTATCTTCATTTTCTCCCACCCCACAGCACAGTCTCATTCTAGCCCACATCAATGAGGCAGCCTTAATTGTTCTCCCTGCAGACACTTCAGTCTCATCTATTCCTATCTCCGTAAGGAGCATGGTGAATACTCCTTTCAAAATGTGTACTAGATCATGTCATTGACTGGTCAAAACCATCACTGCTGTTCCAAAGCACCTAGAATACAAACTCTACTGTTGGACAGTTAAACAGGAATCAGTAGCTTTGGAAGCTACTGAGAGCAGATCCTTCCCTCATAAGGCTTTGGACCCACCTCCCATTTACCTGGTAATCACAACTTTCCCTCTTTAGGCTTCCTAGACAAAAGAATGGAATATCTCTGATCCTGGAAGATAAGATATTCTGATCTGCTCCAAAGATCAGACCTTTGCATTTATTTGTTTTTTCCATGAGAAGTTAATTTCAGCTGGCCCTATCAATCATCTGGCAGGGATCTACTCCCCAAACCCCATGAAAACATGGAGGGGGAGTATATAATTACTTCCTTAGTAAGAAAATGTATTTACATTTCTCAAAGCCCCTACCCCGATGTACTAACTTCCAGATCCTCACTGTTAAGCATTTTTGAGTTCTAAAAATCATTTCTGTCTTTTTCCAAAAACCTAAGCATACTTACCAAGTCAAAGCATGTTTCCTTGATATGCTGGGCTACTCACCACATCCTTTAGCCATGAGCTCCTTGCCAACTTTCATTGTTGAACATGGTGGTTTTCTTAGACCCTAACTCAAAAGACATCTTAGGCCAATGATAATCAAGACAGTCCCAGGAGTTGCTGGATGTTTACACTGCATGAAGATGTGTCTATGTTTTGCTCACCTGTGTAAGCTACCTAATTGATTTAATAAAAAGCTGAACGACCAATAGCTAGACAAGAGAGGCTAGGCAGGACTTCCTGACAGAGAGGAATTCAGAGGATGAATCTAGGCAAGAGGACTTCGCCAGCCAGACATAGAGGGGCTAGTCACAGAGAATGTGGAAAGGTAAAGAGCCACATGGCAAAACACAGATTGATAAAAATGGGTTAATTTAAGTCATAACAGCTAGTTGGGAACAAGCCTAAGCTAAGGCCAAGCTTTCATAATTGATAAGTCTCCATGTCCAAAGAAAGACTGACAAGAAAGACCTGCTGCTATATGCAGAAAAAAACTCAGTGGTAAGTGCTTGCCCAATATACATGAGACCCTGGTACAACTCTCAGCTTCACAAAAAAATAAAAATCAATCCTCTTTCTAAAAAAGCTAACTGGGAAAGAAGCCTGTCAACATCTGACCTCTCCTTGTTCCAGCTCAGCTGCTGAGTCAACCTGTACCGCTACACTCTGAGAGTCCAGGACTTCTGGGGACTACAGCAGCACAGTCTCTGGTTCTCAAGGGAAAGGCATAGGGATCATCTACATCCTTGCTGAAAATGAAAAGTATTAGGTCCCACCTAAAATACACTGAATCAGAAACTCTGGGGTAAGCCCTGACCATCCCGAGCCTTAGAAAAACGAGGCAAACAACAAGAACAAAGCAGAGGGCAACTCTGTAGAACATGGAACAGCAGAGCAGGGAACTCTAGTCTTTACTTAGAAAATTCTCACATTAATTTCTGACGTATGGATGTGCTTGCTTGCTTACTTAGGTAAAGTGAATATGCATTTATTAAGGAATGTCAGAAAGAATTGCAGAAAGGGAGGGGCCAGGGAGGACTACCCTAACTACTCTAATACTGACTTTTACTTTGGGACTGCTGCTTTCTGCTGACACCTCCATAAGGCTTACTATGTTCTAACTGCTTACATTCAGCATTAACTCACTTAAAATATGAGATAGACTGATATTAGTCTCATTTTATACACACAAAAACTTGAGTCCAAGAAGTAAATTGTCCCAAGTCCCACTAGCCATATTTCTCTTCAAAAATTCAATTTGTATATAAAGCAAAGGATTTATCATGCAAAGGTACAAAGGACTTAAACTGTTTCTGCTCTTCTGAGCAGTGGAGAGGTAAGACAGAGTGCCTGTACACTGTCCTCGAACTGTCGGAAACATCTAGAAAGATGCCTTTTCCCCAGTGTCCCAAGAACGCTACCAGGGAAAAGCCCATCTCCTCTGTTAAAGAGAGGATATCTGGGCATCAGTAAATCCACCACAGCTTTCATCATCCTGCAACATCTGCACTTTAAAAGAGTTAACATCAAGCCGGGCGGTGGTGGAGCACGTCTTTTATCCCAGCACTCGGGAGGCAGAGATAGGTGGATCTCTGTGAGTTCAAGGCCAGCCTGGTCTACAAGAGCTAGTTCCAGGACAGGCACCAAAGCTACAGAGAAACAATGTCTCGAAAAGACAAAAAGAGTTAACATCATATTCAATGGCTCACTAATAAGTAAAAATGAGAAAATTTTCTCTTCAGAATCATTCCCAAGCCAGCAACTTGAACAGCTCCCTTCTGAAAGCTGCTGAGTCCAACTGCTCACCACCTGACCTGAGCTGATTATGTCACTATGTCACAACTGCTTATGTAAAGATGGGAGTGGGGACAGCTAATATACACTGCCAGAAATCAGAAAAGAGGTTACAGGAGAGGAGGGGTGATTGAATAAGGGTATGAGGGAGATTCTGTTGTTTACAACCTGGAAGTAGCTTGGTTATACTTTTGAACATGCTGGGCAACCTCATATATATATGGAATACATCAAAGCTTGTTGATGCTAAAGTCTAAAACGAATACTACCAACTTGATTATAACAAAAAAAAAAAAAAAAAAAAAAAAACACTATTTTAACCTCTCCCAGGGAAATGGCTACATCTATCAAGAACTACTGTACCTACTATTAATGCAGAGTGGCAGTGAGGTCGCCAGGTCAGACACACTGGCTCCCTTTCATGCCACTTCCTTTCCTATTTTGTCTTCATCGTCACATACATCATCTGTTATCATCTCTTGAAACCAAGGGGAAAGAACTTACAGAAAGGGTGTGTTTGCTTTTCTCCTAATAGATGCACAGAGCACTGCACCTACCTAGGCTCATCCTCAAAATAAAGAAATTGTATCACGGCAGTCATAACTTTGGCACAATTTAAGTCTTCCAACAACTGACTATGCTGGTCACTTTTTCAGTTCTTATTAATGTACAGTGTGGAACATAAGGGGATTTAACAAAAACAAATTTCCCATGGCAGCCATATATTCACAGATGAAAATGGGTAGGTTGCTTTGCTCAAGAGGCCAGTCCTCAGTCCCTGGCAAGGAACCAGACACAAACTGTGTTCGAAGACTCAAGTCTAAACACTAACCAAGCATATGCTATGGGCTTACCCTCCTCACACAACTTGGTGAGATCCCTGAAAAGGCAGTGAAGTTTCCGGAGGTAAGACACATACCTCAACAGAACAGAAGACGAAGGCATGATGGTGAGCAGGGCCTGCCAAAGTGTTCAGCTAGTTTACAGAAACCTCTCAGTGTTTGCCCCCGAAACCTGGATATATACTTTGTGGAAGAAGGTGTGTACATTAAAGACATTCCTTTCAGTCTGATCTTTATGTAAATATTCAAGACAGTGTCCCCAAATACGCACACAGTAAACTCCCTTCTCACTTCCATGTTCCCAGCCCCTGCACTATTCAGCTACATTTGGAAGGAGCAATACAATTTTAAGGCAAAACTATTTTCCCTCAAAGTTTTTTATTTTTGTTTTGTTTTTGTTTTTTGGTGTGGGGAGCTGAGATTCGCAGCGCATAGAAAAGGAAGTCCGCCAGGCGGTGGTGGTGCAAGCCTTTAATCCCAGCAGAGGCAGAGACAGGCGGATCTCTGTGAGTTCGAGGCCAGCCTGGTCTACAAGAGCTAGTTCCAGGACAGGAACCAAAAGCTATGAAGAAACCCTGTCTCGAAAAATCCAAAACNAAAAAAAAAAAAAAAAAAAAAAAAAAAAAAAAAATAGAAAAGGAAGTCCACATAGAAAATAGGAATGGCATAGAGAGTTAAAGTTAGGAAAAGGTTTGTTAGGTTAAATTGAAAAAATAAATAAATAAACATGTAAATTCCCACTTGGTTTCCCAGGCTTTAATAAAGCTGCCCACAGATGTGTTCAGCAGGTGAAACAACTCTGACACCTCTCTCCAAAACCACAGCCAAGGACCTGAGATTCCCTGAGAACCGCCCTGCAGCAGCAAGTGGACAAGGCCTCCACCTCAACCAAGAAGCTATCCGCAATTGATAACCATTAGCAAAGGAAAAATTCATTTTCTTACTTGGTATATTAACTACACTACTAGGCCGCATGCCCAAGAGGCATCAAAAATAACTCAGTGGTATTTCTGTGGACTTTCTGCCCCATTTTGCTTTGGGTATTTTTTTTTTCTGTCTTATTGGTCTTATGCATGTAGATTTGGTTTCTGTTTTTGTGGTTTTGTGTTGTGGATGTGTTTGTTTGTTTCTTTTTGAGAGAGAAAGAAAAGCCGTGGAGCTAGGAGAGCTGTGGGGAAGAGAATAGAGGGATCAGAACGCACTATATTTAAAATTTGTCTTCAACTAAAAATAAAACCACTTCCAACTAACAGGAGGGAAAACTGCTTCAAATGTAAAGGAAAAACTAGTGTATCTATAGCCTCCAAGCTGGCGAAAGCCATGAAACGAGTGAACACATTTCCAGCTGATACTGGATGATACTGGAGGATGCTGCTCGGCTTCTAATGAAGATTTCCTTACTTCTTTGCTTCTGCACTCACCCGGCAGCCAGGTACCTGCTTCTCATCATGCTTCCCCTACTTATTCCCAGCAATTAATCTTGCCTTTCTCCTGGACTGAATATAACAAAATGCCTTGGGTATGCAATCCTACCAGCATTATAGAACTGGTTAGCAAACTCAAGAAAGTATCCCTAACAGAAAATACAAAGTTGCTGCTGTTGGTGGCTCACACCTATAATCCCAGCAATCAGAAATTTGGGACCAGGGCTACCTAGTAGAGTTCCAGGCCAACCTGGGCTACAGAATGAAACCCTACCTCAAAGAAACAAAAATATTTAAAATAAAAAGAACTCAAAGTCCACATTAACAGATTTCAGAACAAACTTTCTTCTCTCAAAATCTGGAATCAACTTTAGTGATAGGTATATCAGAGGAAAGATACAACCTATAAACTCCTATGCTAAGTTAGCTGCCAGTAATTGTACCTTTTAGATGGGTTCTCTTTAGCTTGTATTATACAAACAAGAATTCCTCTGTCCATTTTCCTGACTATAACTGATTTTTTAGATTACCTACCAGCAATTTCAGACCTGTAAGCATACACCTGAGATTACAACAAGACGCAAGCATGCGTGCATGCATAAACCTTCCCAAGAGTCCAGTCATCACTTTACATTCTTTATACCTGTCTCTTGTCATACCACCTTAAAGGCAACTGATCTCACCTAAAGCTCAACTCCGAAGGACATTCTTTTAGGCAGCCTATTCAGATCCTCCTCACAGAACCCCATCCCCACTCCCAGCACTCTAAATAAATAAATGTAAAATTATAACAAAAGGTTAAGTTTCTATCCCTTGTAATCTGGAGTAAAATAGCTAGGGTGGGGCAATATTCCTTTCTTCTCCCATGATAAAGATGGGGGAGGCAGGACAGAAAGCAGAGTGTCCTACAGAAGGCAGCTCTTCACCATGAATGACTGACTATGTCTGAAAGGCCAGGAACTTCACAAACTTTGAAACCCTCCTTTCTTCCTCTTGTACACTGTCAGCTACTGGAGGTGGATCTACCCTGGCAAAAGAAATAAGCTTAGCAGTGTTCAGAAAGGGTAAGGCAAAAAAAGTGGGGCACATCCATTGCCCCTGAAGCTCTGGACCAAGAATGGAGTTTAAAGAAAGTCTTCAGAGTGAATTCCGTGCAGGTGGTCTATGACCGGCTCTGTGAAAGCACTGCCTTGCAGATCTGAAGGAACAACGCAGAGGAAGACGGAGAAAGCTGCTTACACTGTTCTCAATGACTCTGCAAGGTGCATTTCAGTAAAAAGACAGAGAAAGCTATAGGGCAACATTCCAGATTCCTCAGTGTGCCAAAGAGGAAAAACACAATGACTAACAACTACCGGTGACACTCTATAGGTGACAGAAAAAGCAACATGGCCCAGAAAACATCTCTCTGAAGAACACAGCCCCAGTCTTAGAACTGCAAAAAGCCGTGGGCTCTACAGCAGCAGTTTATAGCAGAGTCCATTCAGAATGCTGTTAGGACATAAAGAGAGGAAGAGCACCCTCATCTACCTGCTATGGGCCCAGAATGTGATGGAACACACGAGGTTAAGGCTCAGCTCACTGTTCATGAGACCCTTCTAGTCTTCTCTATCAACCCCAAGGCAGCTAAAAAGGAACGGGGGAGGGGGCAGAGAGTAAAGGAAAGGAAACCTGGGAGAAATCCTCAAGTCAGAATTCTTAAAGAATTTCTCGGCAGGGCGGTGGTGGCGCATGCCTTTAATCCCAGCACTCGGGAGGCAGAGGCAGGCGGATCTCTGGGAGTTCAAGGCCAGCCTGGTCTAGTTCCTGGGCGGGCACCAAAGCTACAGAGAAACCCTGTCTCAAAAAACCAAAACAACAACAAAAAAATAATAATTTCTCTTTGAAATATTGCTGGGTCTTGTTCCTATATACTGGATGCATGAACAGCCAATAACCTAATCATGTGTACTGCTTCTATGGGGAAATACAATCCAAAACAAAACAAAACTTTAGCAATGTGCCTCTGAGGCCTCCATTTGTTGATGTAAAATATCTAAACCATGATGTGCAAGTATGTGCCAGGGCAACGACTTTCTTGACTGAAGTCACAGTTCTTAGCAAAAGAGCTGCAGCTGATAAGCCAGATTACAAAATAGTATTGCCAAGAATAGAAATAGTGGTCAAAGCTTGACTCCAGAAATCTCGGGCAAACTGAAAAAGCGGATTCAAAACTGCCAGCACTTCCCTTAGTGAGCAGAGTCTGTGTGCCATCCAGGACTCAACACACAAGTGACGCAAGGCTGCACTTACCTGCACTATGTCCCAGTTCATCTCCACCTCCTCTTTAATGCTGCTGGCACCGTCAGGAAACTTGACAGGCTTCCCCTGAGGACAGGCCTCAGTCTTCATCCTCTTCAAAGGGGACTGACCAAATGTGAAGTCGTCTTCACTTTCTTCCTTCTTGCAGACATCTTCCCAAGTGGTGCTTGTTGATGGTATCCCCATATTGCTATTTCCACCTTCTAAGGGGCTGGCTTGGCTGGTTTCTTCATCAACTTTCAACTTTCTTTTGGCCCTCTGTACTGAGTTTTTTTGTTTTTTCGCTGCAGTTTTCAGAGTCTTTGTCGTATGTAATTTGTGATTTTTCTCTTCCAAACTGGCATCAACAATAGCTACAGGGCTATTCTATGAAATCACAAAAAGAACACATGAGAATTATACGATTAGAAAACAACTGCCCTGGAATATTTTCAGAAGTGAAAGGAAACAAAGTATCAATACACATAATAACAACTTAAATGAATCTCAAGGGAGCTACGTGGAGTTGTGAAAAACCCCATCCCAAAGTTGCATACAATATGACAATATTTATAGAAATCTCCTAAGCACAGCCGCTCTCACCAGGAGCAGAAATAGGTGGGTGAAAGGAGAGCAGCCATGTGGATGAGAAAGGGTAATGTGAAGCCTGGGGTGGAAACACACGCCTTTAATCCCAACGGAAGCAGGAGGATCTGAGTTCAAGGCCGGCCTAGACTATGGAACAAGGTCCAGGACAGCCAGGCCTACACAGAGAACCCTGTCTCAGGGAGGAAAAAAAAGAAAAGAAAGGGCAACATCAGGGATCTGTTCAATGGTTACACAAACCTACACATGTAATAAACTGTATGGTGCTAAATACAAATACCCACACAAAAATAAACACATGGAAAACCAGAGAATTCTAAATAAAGAGGTTTTTACCAATTATATTTTACAATGCTAAAATAAGACACTAAATTTTACCATTGGGGAAAACTAGATAAAGGGTATATGGAATCCCTCCCTGTTGTTTCTTATATTACAAATAGTTTAATTTCACAAAGCGAGTATGATAGGTTTATATGTACCCTACTTCAGCCTCCAAGAAGGAAAGTGCTGCCCATAAGAGTTTCAAATGCTTTTGATGATTTTTTCTAAGTGTTAACTATTAAACCAGCATTTCATATATACACAACACTCTTGCAAGCATGGTTGATATAAAAGTACCCGTACGAGGTACATCAGCTTTTGGACTGCTGACTTAGAAACCCAGTTGCATCACTTAACGTCTGTGTTCTAGGAGTATGTAACTAAATATCTCTTGCCGCACATTTATCTATAAAATTCCCAATGGTTGTAAGGACAAAGAGATCTTCGGAGTAAAATGTCGAGCATGCTGCGTGGCTGGTAATACGCACAGATATTTGCTGACGTCACCATCCAAACCAGCACTTCCACACCTAGCACACATCCTGGGAGAGGAGAGTGGAAGTAGCTGAAGAAACGGTTGTTGGAATGATAAGTGTTCCTGAGACTGACAGGGACACCATGGCCCTGAAGAGTGTGTCATTTACATGTTCTGCCCTACACTGTGTAAGGAGAAAGAACAGCTCCTCCCCATCTGGAAAATACAGTGGCCTTCCCCACATCTAGCAACGCCACCTACCAACTCCTCCTTAACAGCCAGGTCTTTTGATACAGCATCCATCCGTGGGGTGTTCTTCTTCACCCGCCGCCCCTGCTTTTGTTTGGACTCCTTGGAAGCAGGCTGCTTACGGTTTCTGGGGACTTTCTTCTGAGGTTCCCAAATACTATCTTCCTGGTCATCTTCTTCAGAGCCTGATGACCTAGAAGTAAATTGACAGGGGGAACTTCCAGGAAAAACGAAACCAACCAAATGACAAAGGTAAAGAGAGGCATATGTTTCTTAAATGATAATTGGAAGTATGTGATAGAAAATGGATTGATATAGGCACAGGCTGTGCACAATTATTGCTAAGGAGTGAACAGTGATCAGAGACTCATGTAGACATGCCCTCTCCGGAGCCACCACATGCCATCACAAGTCTCTTCCCCCATCTGATGAGCACACACACACTATCATGACACAGAAAATCAACCATTACCTTAAGGCACTTACTGGGTCATGTCGCACAACTGTCAATGTGAGCCTTTCAATCTTAACAGTAAAAAGCACTTAGGTTCCTAAATGCCAGTCAAATCCATTTAAAACATACTAAGTTATTCAAACCAATGAAAGGACTAAGAAATAGCTTCTAAAATACCTGAAACTGCATAAAAGCCATCACCAAGACACTTCAAGTACCTATTTTATTGACTCTTTTTCCCATCACAGAATAGATCTGTTCCCTGAAGAGACTGGGTCAGGTGCAGCCACACCGCTTTTCTAACAAGAAGCAAACACACATCAGGAGCAGAGAAAGCACAGCCCTCCACCCATCTGCTTCACTCTATTCCTCCCCTAAACAGGTAACTATAGGTGAGAAAAATGGCCTGAGAGTAATCGATGAGGCTGTCTGAGTTCCTGAAGGGTTCTCAGTTCTGCCTAGAAGCAAGAACCTCACTAAATGAATCCTCAGCTAAGTTATGTTCCAAGAAAACATAATGATGGCAGGCCAAACCACTGACATCATCAGAGTTCTTTTCAGAGGTCAGTAAGCAGCCTGAGACTAAACAAAACAAAAAACACTAAAAAAGTAGAGTCAAAAGTAACTATCATTTGAAAACCTGTGTTCTGCCAGATAGTCCTGAGTACTTGGGAGTGTGAAGCAGGAGGGTCACAAGTTCTAACCATGTCCACCCATGCCCTACTCTCCTTCATACACACATACACACAGGGGCAATGGGAAAGAAAGAGAGGAAAAGGCAAGGGGAGAGAGGAGCAAGAGAAAATAGGAGGAAGGAGGAGAACAGGGGGAAGGGCAAAAGGAAAAGGCAAGGGGAAGACAAAGGAGAACCCCTCCTACTATGAACCAAACAGAACATCTTCTACCCTCCTCCTGCCTAATAGCCTATCACACAGAACGCTAACCAACCCTACTTCACAAGGGTAGGTTGCTAAAAGTATAGGGAAGAAAACACAAACTTCCAAAATCCCTGGTTACACAGGAAGTGGCTCAAGGCAGCCAATCGATGCTCATTCCCATGCCACGTGAGTTGTCAGCAGGACCCGGCCCTCATCCTGTCAGCACCTTTCATATGCCTCTCCTTAGACCTCTAGACCCTCCTTCTCCCCTCAACCTCAGAATGCTCAACTCTCCAGAGTCTAACCTCAGTCCTCTCTCTCAGTTTATGTCTTATCCTATGAGTCAATAAAGTAATCTCAATTTTACATCTCCAAACTGACATTTCCCTTTGCAGATTCACATTTAGCTAGATGTCAAGCAATCACCACCAACTTGCCAAGCCAAAATAGAACTCTTGGATTCAACACTCTTACCTGTTCCTCTAGTCTTCTCAAGAAGCCCGTAAACACCAACACGCCCTTTCTAGTCTACCTTCAGAAAAGTGCCCCAAATCAGACTATTTCTTACGATTCTCCCCTCTATACCTGTTTCCTTGCTTCACCCTCATACTTCCATTCTTGTCCCCTTACAGTCTGTGACACCAAGAAACCATGATGATATTGTACAGATATAAGCCAGACCAGGTCGGATCACTGCCCACAGTCCTCCACTGGCTTTTAATAAAGTCCTAGCATCTCCTCATCGACTCTCGGAGCCTAGCAATTCCAGTCTCATTGCCTAGCACTCTCTGACATGATGGTTCTAAGCTGGCTGCACTGTTCTTGCTGTTCCCCACACATCAACTCATTGCTGTCTCAAGGTCTTTGTATTTGGGGCCTTCTCTATTTGTAACAGAATCTAAGTCTTTGCCCCAAGATGAACTCCTGTGTTTGTAAGCTTCAGGACACTATACTGACATAACTTAATAAATGGCTGATTTATCTCAGTCTTGGAGGTTTTATTCCAAAATCAGGTGGCCCAATTGCTTGGGCCTCTGATGAAGACAGCAACTGGCAAAAGCAGGAACATGTGCTGAAACACGTGCACATCTTGAGATAAGAACAAAGAGAAGACAGGCCAGATGTCACAATTTTCTTGGAGGGCTTGCCTCCAGTGGCCTAAGAACCTCAGACTAGCCTCTACCTCTTACAGGTCTAACCACTTCCAAATACCACTACCCTGGTAGTGACCTCTGTGTGACATTTATCCAAATCACAGCACCTAGTAAATTAAATATGGATCTCTAGGCATATCCTCCAAAAAAACACCATCACTGCTCTATCCAAAAATGCCCCTCTAATACAAACACACAGCACATGCTCCCTAACACCGACCTGCTTTAATTTTACCTTTATAATCCTATTGTGACCTAACATTAATCGCTTATTTCTTTACAAATGTCAAAAGCATGTGTTATATGGTACTCTACAGCAAAGACTCTTAAACTGAGGGTGATTTGGAGCCCCTGGGACATTTGGCATTATCAAAAGACATTTTTGATTATCACATGTACTTGGTAGAGGTCACAGATACCACTAAGCATCCTACAAAGCATCAGATAGCCCCCCCCAACAAAAGGTGACCCCACACACAGTGGCAATGCTGCATAAATTACACGTGCTATTTTAAAGCAATGTAAACAACAGCAAGCCCTCCTTCAGCCTGGTTCCAGGGTAAATATTATATAATGTGTTCAGTTAGCTATTTTCTCTCCTGGATCACAGCATGAATTCAACAAAGAGCTATTGTATGGATAAAGGACAAATGACTGAAGTTTCTAAGCGACAGGATATATTACTCCTTAAAATAGTCACCATTCCCGCAACAACATCTCACTAATGTGCTTACAACTCAGAGAAGAAAGACAATTCATTTTTGGGTTCCACATTCTGGGCCTGTATTTTTGCTCTTCTTGGCAATGAAGACATCTGGAAGAAACAGAACATGAAGTCAGCATGACATGAAGATTTTTATCACTTTGTTTGGCTATAAAATGATTCTCCATTCAAAACTAACACTTCAAAAAGCTTTGCTGTTAGAAATGACATAAAGGAGAGAAAAACATCACATTTGTTCACAAGCCCAAACACTGGCTTCCCACAGGATGTAGCCTGCTGATCAGAAGAATACCCAGCAGTCTTTCAACGGTCTCAAATACCTCATGAGTATGGGGCCTTCTTTTAGAGAAAGACAAGATCTTACAGGGTAATAAGTTTATTTTAGAATTAAATGTTTGAGTATTCCGCAAGTATCATTTTATGGCGACACTACCAGTCAACAAATTATAAAGTCATCTATTAAAGTATTTATCAAATATAAGAAATATTTCTTCTCTTCTGTGTCTTCTGGTAACAGTACAGTAGAGGTGTCTTTATAAGGTAGGCATCAAACAAAGGATGCTAATTAACTGAGTAAGCAGTAGGCTATTCCTAAAACAAAGCTCACATCCTCTTGTACTATAAATGATTAACCTATGCTACCAAAAATATTTACCACAGTCAAAGGTTCAGCACCAAAAAAAAAATTAAGACAAATGACAAGAGACATCACATCATATAATAAGTAAAAAATTCACTTAAACTGATAACATTTATTACTCCCCAAAATATGTTTGTCAAACTATAAAAACTACATTAACCTGCATATTAGAATCTGTGAAGCAAGTCCCTGGACCAGTGGGTTACTGTAAGCTTCTGCTTCTAACAGCACTTATCAGAGGAGGTAATACCTCAAATACCAAAGGGGTTGTCACCTAGAGGAACATGATTTCTTTCCCAGCAGCTCTGTCCAGGGAGAGCAGAACCATGAGGCAGACTGTGTCAGGAAGGAAACAGAAGGACAGAGGGAACTCTCTCCTCTCTTCCTTCAATGTCTCTTAGGAATCTCTCTGGTTATGGGGGTCATCCTACCTCAAATAAGCAGTTCTAGCTTTTATCACAAGGGAACAGGAAAATAGAATTTCTTATGAACAATTTACCACAATAAAAACAAAACTGTAAAAAAGAAGACTGAACAGGAATGTGGCACACCTTTAATCCCACTGCAAAGAAGGCAGAAGCAGGAGGTTCACTAAGAGTTCTAGGCTAGTATGGTCTACATAAAGAGCTTCAGGCCAGCCGGGGCTACAATCTAAGATCCTGTCAAGCAATCAATAAATAAGAGGAAGTTGATGTTTGTCAAGGGTGCCGATTCAAAACAAGTCAGGGAAGAACATAATTCACTTTGCAAGACAATTAGCTAATCCTCTGAAGAAAAGCGAGTATTTAACTTCCACACCCTTCTCAGTAGCAAAACCACGCCCTAAGATGGTGAACTATTTAAATCACACAAAACAAAGCTTTAAAACTTCTACAAAAAGCAAAAAGTAACTCCTCAGAAGGTTGACTAAGATGAGAAAATGCAGATTTCACTAAGCACATCTCAAAACTCAAAGCCAAAAAGATTAACAGATTTTTATTATATAAAAATTAAAATCCCAAGCCAGTAATTGGGGCATTTTAGAATTTAGCCTTTTGTCTACCCATTAAAAAAGTTTTCTTTTAACTTTTTAAAAAGGAAGGAGCAAAGGAAGAAAGGAAAGACAAATAGACAATAGAAATGATTGCTGAAATCATTAGGAGCAAGAGTTAGGGATCTGGGGCTGGGTATCTTTGTCTGACAAAGAGTCTTCCTAGGTGCCCTCGCCCATGTTACATGTGCAACTGATCCACAAAAATAAATAAATAAATAAATAAATAAATAAATAAATAAATAAATAAATAAATAAAATTCTAGAAGTTTATTTTCCAGAACAGAGTCAAAGACTAGAAGACAATGAATGCAACTGTATACATACAAACCATTCAAATTGAACGCTAAAACCCCCAGAAGTCACCAGTGAGAGATGGGGATGGGAGAGTGCTTGCCTGGCATACATGAAGTCCTAGGTTCGAGCCCTACTACCTTATAAATCAGATATGACAGGGCAGCTCCTGGGAGGCAGAGGGACTGAGAGCTTAAAGTTGTGCTCAACCATACAATGAGTTCAAAGTGAACCTGGGATACAAGAGACCCTGTCTCAAAAAATAAGTATAAACAAAAAGCCACCAGTTAGATACTTGTCCTCCATGGAAGACACCTCCCTGGAGAATCTGAATCTTGCATAAAAATCTACACGTGTTGGGAAGAAGAGGCAAGAAGATCAGAGGTCAAGATCAGCCTGTGCTACAGGAGATTCTGCCTCAAAAAGAAAACAATGGGAAAGCCATCTAATCTAAAGGTGTCAAGCCCCGTCATCAACCCTCCCTCGTTTCACTTACAACTACTCTGACCATCCCAACAGTAATATCAGGCCACTCCCATCTAAAGTCTGGCTTTCTATGGTTTGAGTCATCTCTGTCAACTGAAGTTCATAAACAATAAACAGAAAATTCCAAACATAAACAATCAATAGATTTCAACAGCACACTATTCTAAAGCAACAGGATAAAATCTCCATTCTATTCCATCCAAGAACACGAATTAGCCCTCTGCCCAGCAGTCATTCTGTACACACTGATACCTATATGGCAGGGAGTTAGCAGTCACGCCATCACCACACCACAGTGCTTGAGTTCAAGTTTACTTAATTGTGGCCCCAAAACATGAATAGCAATGCAAACACTTTTATTACAATATAAATAAATATTTTTCCGTGTTAGTAGTTGTCAATCTCTTAATGTACCTAATATAATTATTTAGCTTTATCACAGATATGCATACATGGGAAGAAACGTGGTAGATATAGGGTTTGGTGCTATTAAACATTTCAGACTTCCACCAGGGGGTCTTGGAAGGGAGAACTATTACACCTTAATTCATAACACATGCCAAATCTGTTGCTACACTCCAGCTTTTACAGAGAGGGGTTTAAAATCCTTGGTAGGTCAATGTCCCCATGCTGTGATAAACATGAACAAAAGAAACTTGGTATGCAAAGAATTTATTTCGTCTTACAGCTTATAGTAAGTCCATCAAGGGAAGCCAAGGCAGACACTCAAGGCAGGAGCTGGAGGCTGGAACCACAGAGGAACACTAATTACCAGCTTGCTCCCAGGCTTTCATTCCGCTAACTGTCTTATATAAGTCAAGCCCATCTGCTTAGGGATGGAACTACCCACAATGGGCTGGCTCTTTTCCACAGACATACTTATAGTACAATTAGATGAAGGCAATGACTCAACTGAGGTTCCTTCGTCTGTCAAATTGGCGACCAAGATTAACCATCACAGTTAGTATTTAGATTAACCATGGGCCTTTAAAGTTTTCCCTAAACACATACTTTGAACTACCTCTTTATTAAGTATTCTAGTGGAACATGGAAAATTAGGTAAAACACAATTATCTATTTACAAACAGGATATATATAGATATATAGTGTATGTGTAGGCAAAAATTAGAAATTATTATTTGTATGCAACTACCTATATCAAGTATTCTCTCAGGGATTTGTATACTTGTATACTCCACTTGGGATAACCAAAACCTTGGCGACTGACATGTTCGAAGATAACAGGGTTATATTCTCAGAAATACATCACTAGGCAATTGTCATCTGGGCATTACAGTGTACTCAACTAAGACAGCTCTATAGGTGAGACGGTCTTAGAGAAGCACTTTCGGTAGTTGTACATGTTCTGTTGGCATCCATCCCAAACATCAATAAAAGTACAAGACTGTACCTACAGCACCTACTTATTAAAATCCTACTCCCTCTGTCCCAAAATTTAAGATTTAGGTTTACATAGGGTAGGGGAGACAGACAAGAGAATTGATTGATCACAGGAGCTTGCTGGACAATCAATCCAGCCACATCAGTGAGCTCCAGCTTCAGGGAGAGACCTTGCCTCAAACAAAAAGGTGATTCATGAAGACATCCTCTTTTGCCATCAGCTGCCTGAAGCACATGCACCCGCACATGCATGTGCGTGCACAGGCATATACACAGAAAATGATTCAAACTGACACAATAAATTGCCCCTGAAACTATTTAGAGGTCTCCTAGTTTCCCAAATTTGACACATTCATAAAGGGACTCTTGATAATTACGTTCCTCTTCTAGAAAACTGTTTCTAGGCCGGTCGGTGGTGGCGCACGCCTTTAATCCTAGCACTGGGGAGGCAGAGGCAGGCGGATCTCTGTGAGTTCGAGACCAGCCTGGTCTACAAGAGCTAGTTCCAGGACAGGCTCCAAAACCACAGAGAAACCCTGTCTCGAAAAACAAAAAAAAAAAAAAAAAAAAAATTAAAATAAAAAAAAATAAAAAACTGTTTCTATCCCTCTTTCCACTCTCAGTATCTATCCACTTGTTAAGCTAAAATTTGAGACTTTTTTTTAATAGCTTCCCTAAAGAAGCTAACACAAAATCCCCTGCTCATGATTAGAATGTTCAAATCTGCTAAATTCTGACATAAGTATACACATTTTCACAATCAAGATAGTGAGGATGCCCATCGCTCACCAAGGAGCCATGTGGAAAGCCAGTACTGACAATCTTTTTTCCCCTCCATCGCCAATATGCAGACTATTAGTAAATGAAATCTTCCTCCAAAATCTATCCTATTTCATCAGCACTGGCAGTGAGGCCCTAGTCTCTACTGCTATAGCAGGGGATGAGACTGGGTAATTAACAAAAACAACATTCCTTCACAATCTCACGGCCTAGAAATAGGCCTGCTTTCCACACTATTCCAGAACAAAAGGCATTACCGTGCTAAAGAAAAGGAAGTGTAGGCTGAGCTTTTCCTGCCTCTGCCTTTCAGTGTCATGGGGGGGGGGGGGTACTCTTTATGGCCTCATCTAATCCAAAACACCTTGCAAAGGTCTGACCTCCCGATCTATGGATTTGAGGATTACATGGGACACAAACCACAGTCGTCTTCAGCTCTTACTAGACTGCTGCAGCAAGCTCTCAGCTGCCCTCCAGTTCTTCCACTCTTGCCCCCTACCACCCATTCTCCCTGAGATCACTCCTAAAATGCTCTGAAAACACTCGGGGACTTTCCATCTGGTGCTTCAAGAATCAAAACTAAGACCCTTTTCAGGACTGACACATTCTATCCCTAACCCCACTCACCCCTTCATCTCTCTGCTTGCTTCTAGTCACCTTCTTTCAGTCCCTGTTCCAAGCATGAGTCTTTCCCACATCAGGTCCACTCTACCTGAAGAGCCCTAATCCTATTCATATCGAACATCTGGTTACTTCTCATCCCTTAGCTCTCAGCATCCGCTTACCTAAAATGGCATTTTATATCATCTTCCCCTTCCATCCTGTATACAGTAGTATATAAAATAGGCTAAAAGTATAATATTGTTTTCTGTCTGATACCCTCAATTCAATAAATTCAGGGTTAAAGAAAACGCTTGCTTTACTTCAATACCTGAGAGCCCAGAATTTGATAACTGATCTAAAAGTATTTATTTACTGAATAAGCTTTTTTTTTTTTTTTTTTTTTTTTTTTTTTTTTTTTTTTTTTNCGAGACAGGGTTTCTCTGTGGTTTTGGAGCCTGTCCTGGAACTAGCTCTTGTAGACCAGGCTGGTCTCGAACTCACAGAGATCCACCTGCCTCTGCCTCTCAAATGCTGGGATTAAAGGCGTGTGCCACCACCGCCCGGCTACTGAATAAACTTAAGTACAAATATGGTCTCCATAGAAAAAAAATAAAAGAATTTTCTATCACTCTTACTTCACTGCTGTTTGGAAAAGATTATGACACATAAGAAGGCTCCCATTCTTTAGTGATCGGAAACATTCCCTCTTCTGAATTATTTCATTCATATTCATTATCTCTGCAGGGATAAGCAATTGCAAATTACAGGCTCCTGTGATATCACTGAGGAGATACTAGAAACTGGGGAAAGTGAAAATAGGGAGAAAAAGCAATTCACACACACACACAAAATATTTTAAAGGGGGAAACAGCATTTAAAGTTGTATGTAGGAGAAAAGAGAGAGAACTCAAGAGGCATCTAAATGTTTCCCTGGGGGAACCAACAAAACTGCTTCAAATGTTAGCAGAGATTTTCTAGTGGGAAAAAAAAAAAAAAAAAGCCGAAAACCAAAAACTTAGCAGGAGAGTTGCGGCTAGCCTTGGCGATGAGAAAGCCCTGCTGCATTCTTTTATGAATGAGACTGGAATGGTTTAAAGGTGTAAGGCAAAGGTCCTAGAACTCAGAGACACAAGTACCAATGCTATCCTCGTTTCTCATTGTACGGACATTAAAAGCTGCCCTGTGGGAAGAGAAAGTTGCCTAGAGTTCTCATTCATCCTCAACTGTTGGAGCGCCTCCTGTGTGCCCAGAGCACTTCCGAAGATGCGAGTGATTCGGAGCACTGCGATCTGACAGTGTTTCTTCCCTCACCTCCGACTCTATGGGGGTGGAAACAAAATAACAAAGTTCGCCCTGGCTTTCTCACGCCTGCCATGCGCTGCCAGCTGGTGCAATGAAAGGACGCGCCAGGTTACAGGTGTAGATTGTGAGGCGGACGCTGATACTAAAACGTAACGAAAATTCGTCTCAAAATTTGCTCTCTCCCAAACAAGCACTCATAACGGTAAGTGGCCCCCAAAGTACCGCCGCCCAGACGCAGAATCGGGTCAGACCGAAGCACTGCCGCCAGGGCGGACACAAAGCTCACCTTCCGGCCTGGCGTGTCTGTAGACAGGCGTTCTGTTGCAGAATCTTCCGGTTCCCGCCGGAAGTTTTTCAAATACAGGAAGTCCCTCCTTACTTTCCCCAGAGCGGATTACCGGGGCGAGATGGGGCGGGCGGGGCGGGAACGCTGCTTGAGTCTGCGGGGAGTTTGGGTACGCCCTTACCCAAGGGAAGGGTAAAGATTTTGGCAAAAGCTGTGTCCGCTTTTGTGTTTTCCTTTTTCTGTGATCTCTTGGACGACTTTACGCTCTTTTCTCCCATCCTTCCCTTGACTGGAGCTCGCCACGTTGTCCCTGCTGGCCTCGAACACGCCTCAATCGTCTTGTCTCAGCCAGAAAGCGTGGCTAATTTTTTTTTTTTCCGAAATCAGCAACGGCTCATTGCATCATTCATTCGTAGTGGGAGATGAAAAGGAGTTCGGCTCTATTGTCACATTAAAACCTTAAGTGACGTCCACAAGGATGTTTATAGTATATTTCATTATTTTCTAAACTCTGATATAATGGGTTTTGCAACCCGCTAGGAAAATGTCTGAAACTTTCCGACTTTGGTAAGTCTGCATTCATTCACCCCACGCGGAACCTTACGTAACGAGAGGCATTAGCTGGAGAGTCAGCTGCGTCTTATTCCGGTCTCGGGCCATTCGGTATACTGCCAAGCACACCCATTGGGAAGCCAAGCCCTCTTATAAACTCCCTGGACAATTTGTACAAATTGCTTCTTGCCTTTGTACCTGTTTCCCCAGCCCCCATCTCTATTAAGCTAACCCAGCACACTGGAAATAATAGTCACTGGATCGTTACCTTGAGGCAAAAGTAGATCTTTCACAGAGTGTGAGAAACCCTGCCCTATTTCACACTCAAAGTCCGTGAAAAGTGCAGTGCCCACAATCCTGATAAACTAGCCTAGGCACATTTTCCTTTACATCTTATATCCCTGATTTCCTTGCTCACAATACAGAAATAGAGCTGGTGATAGAGCTCAGGTGATACAGGAACGCACTTGCCCAGTAAGCCTGCTAAGCCTGACTGCATTCCAGGAACCCGTGTAAAGAGAGAACCAACAGCACAAAGTTGGCCTCTGACACAAAAATAGAGTCTTTATTAAATTAGGTTTAAATAGCTTTTTGTCCACAAGGAGGCACGTTTGGTTTTGTTTTAAATATTTGTTTATTTATTTATTTATTTGTCTGGTTTTGGTCACATCAAATGCCTAGGCTATTGCAGAGTTCCCATGTGAACAGAGTAGCAGAAGCTATACCGTAAGCCACAGAAAGTCCCCACGCTGCTCTCGGGGTTAGGAAGAAGCCTAATCTTAAACCCACTGTGATACCCTGAATTCCACTTTTTTTTTTCAGTCATTTCAATTTAAGAGCTATACAGCATTCTCCAGAAATTCTTCCTGCTTAACTTGAATACATCTCAAATCAATTCCCAGAGAAAATTAAGAATGACTTATCTTTTCCAGTGCCATAATTTTATCAGGTCCTACTAAACTCTAAGCTCACAGAAACAACATAAGAAATCAAGTTTTAAATTAGAGAAATGAGATTGTTGTTAATCTAGATTACAATTTCACAGATCAAGGAGAGCATGGCCAGAAATCCCAGCGCTTGAAAGGTAAAGGTCGGAGGATCATCCTCAGCTACTTAGTGAGTTAGAGGCCAGTCTGGACTACAGAGGATTCGGTCTCAAATAATAACTTCACAGATCCAAAAACCCATGGATGGGTTGACAAGACAGCTCAGTGAATAAAGGTGCTGGCCACTAAGCCTAACGAAGCCTGGACTCCACACAGTGGGAAGAGAGAACCAGCTTCATCAAGTTGTCCTCTGACCGCCACACATGTGCACCCACACAGACACTAAAAGTATTTAAGTAAGCAAAATGTAATTAAAAAATTTTTAAAGATGGATTTGTTTTCTTAGAAGAGTCTAGGAAATAGCTTTCTTGTACTAACCTCTCATTGCTAGGGACTCTGGTAATAAAGTGCAAGGTATTGAAATGACCCAGTAGTGGGCCTTGCTGTGAATCCATCCTGAGTGAGCATATGTTTTTGCTAGATCATTTTTGTGATGGGAAGAACAGAAAGGCCCTTTCCAAACTCAGTAAACCAAATTGTGTTAAACCACTGGCCACTAGAGATAAGTTTCTGAGATTGCTTTGGACATTTTTTTCTTAACTTCCCATCTTATGTTGCCTGTTGCAATTAGTTCTAGAAGGTTCAAAACTGTCTGCTGAAATCTCAGTCTGCTCCTCAGTTTTATAGACCCCCGAGATTGCTAGAGAACACAATTTATGAGAAGGAACCTCCGGTGATAAAATCTTCAATGTACCATTTACTGTTACATTTCTTTTGGTGTTGCAGTGTGCCAGACACGTGTAAGGTAGAGAAGGTTATCACGTTCCCAGTGAGTAACTGTTCTACAAAGTGTGTCTCCTTCTTTCTTCTGTTTGTTGAGACAGGGTCTTTCTGTACATCCCTGGCTGTCCTGGAACTCTCGCTGTAGACCAGGACCAGGCTGGCCTTGAACTCAGAGATCACCTGACTCTGCCTCCCCAGTACTGGGATTAAATGCGTGGCTCTACAAAGTAGTTCTGCAAGATTCATTCCCTGAAGACATTTGAAAACAACTCTAGAAACTTGATACAACCCAAGCAAGACAGCTGGATTCCTGGCTTGAGTTAGGCAGGTAACAGCCACCCTACACAGTGGGAGAGCGGGTGTTGGTTAGGCAGGTAACAGCCACCCTTCACAGTGAGGACAGCGGGTGTTGCCCCACATGTTGTTGAGCCCCCACTAACAACAGGATTATTTGCCTTCCACATGGAATATAGCAAAAAAAAAAATTACTAAACTAAAGCAATAAAACTGGTAAGGTTGAAGACATCAGACATCTGGGAAAAATAAAAGTTGAGTAATAATCATCTAAAAGTAAAATATGTCTGAGGTGGCCTACTCCAAAGACAAGCAAGAGCATCCAAAGACTTTTTCCCGTGGAATTTTGCAAGAGAACCACTCCCACCACAAACTGTCAAGGGGAATTTGTAATAATTTAAGTATAAACCAGGCCCCACCATTAAAACCATCTTTTCTTGCCCAATCACTTGTTTACCTTTGGATCTTAAGTAATGAATTCCAAGAAATTCATTGATTTAGACTTACAGCCTGGGATGCTTTGGACACCCACCTGAGACTATGCAATAAAGTAATTAGATCTTTTGGGGGATTTATTTAAATGATGGCTTGTTTTATTTTCCCAAAACATACAGCTCAGTCTCCCATAGTACTCCCTGGTTTCTTAGCATTTGTGTGTTATTGTCTTGTTTGTCAAACCTTTCTTTGGGTTTTATATCTCTGGGGAGAATATAAAATAATATTAACAATGTACCATTATTGACTACCAGTTTCATGCCAAGAACTAATATTTTTTGCATGTTCTTGTGTATTTAATTCACGTATGAACTAAAGGGGATTTTGTAACCCCCTTTTTATAGAAGACAAACAAAGAAGTTAACCTAATTCATCTAAGTTCACATTTCGACAAAGTTGGAGACCCAGGATTCAAACGTACTCATCGACTTTGCTTCATGAGAAATTTATATACCACGAGCCTAAAGCAAAGGTCTTTTTCGCCTCAACTCTGGTAGCCCCTACAATACTTTGAGCCTTTGAGTTGCTCTATAAACTTTTGAACCTCTCCTACACGAAATAAAGTCCTATCTATCAATTTGAAATGCAGTAAAACTATGTTCTCTATTGGCTTCACAAGAACACAAATTCTTAATGCAGGCACAGCTGGTCCACAAACTGAATTCTAAGATACTTGGATCTAAAAACTAGGCCTTGATTATTTTTTAACACCTGCTCCATTTTCTGACTGTATAGTAACTAATAATGTTTGAGAAATAATACTCAGTAAAATAGTAGACTAATCCCTAGGCCAGAGTAAAGGAAACCTTCCCTCATACTAGAAATATGGCTGAAGCTCTTGCTGCACAGAAAGTAGGGTCATCATTTAAAATAAACCGTCCTTGTAAAAATGAAAAAGATATATTGCCCTTGGAGTCAATCACTTAGTGTGATGACTGATTCTGGGGTATCAGCTTGACTCAATTAACAGACACTGACTAGACGGAAAGGAATCATTCGTGTGTGGTGTGCCTGTCAGAGTGTTTCTCAAGGAAAGCGACATTTGAACTTGGTAGACAAAAGAAGATTCTCCAGATGATGTGGGTGAGCTCTGTCCAAATGTCTGGGGGGTCCAAATAGAACAAAAAGGTGAAGAAAAAGAATGTTCTGCTTTCTGTAGCTGGAACATCCCTGTTATCCTGCCCTGGGATGCTCTCTACTCCAGAGTCTATGCCCTCGGAATCCTAGGACTTACATCCTTTTGCTCACCAGGTTCTCAGGTTACATTCTGAGGCCTTTGGATTTAGAAAGAGCCACGTTCCCAGCTTCCCTGATTGTCTGGGATGGACTATTGCAGGGCTGCCTCCATAATTATCTAAACCAATTTCTATAATACATCCTCCCTAATCTATATCAATCATATAGACTCTGTTTCTCCAGTGAGCCCTGCAGCTATACATAATGTTAATGGAAGAGTGTTCCAAGTTATACAATGCACAAATTAAAATGGCTCTTATTTCACAAATACGCATATTAGTTCCCATTCCAGCAGGAGAGCTCAGCGCCAGCCAGCAAAGCAAGTGATCTCAGTTAATTTCTTAGAATAATTCTGGCAGTAATTTAGAGAATTTATTTTTTAAAAAAATCTACAAGATTGGCCCTCAAAATGGGACTGCCTCTGTCTCACAAATGAGAAAGGGATTTCTCGGTACATCTTTTTTTAGGTCTCGTTACGTGAACTTCACTGATAGATGGCATTCTCCAACTTGCCTGTGGCCTGTCCTGTTACTCTTCCAGCCAGACCAGTAGCAGCAGTGTAATCAAACGGCGACAGTCTAACGTAAGGCCATTTGTTAACCCATATAAGCTCGTTAGTCTCTTCTAAAAGAAGATAGATTCAGGGATCAAAATCCTGAGCCTTGATTAAATGTTAAACAGATCTGGAGGAGGCATAAATTAAACCTAAGGAAGTTAATTGTACAGCTTTTTTCAAGGAACTGGAATCAAAGGGATTACATATATTTAAATTTCTCACATGGAATAAGTGATGAGACCTACACATCAAATCATATTCTAGAATGTAATTTCTATTTTTGAGCCAGAAACTTGGGATTTGCAATGTTTTAGCCCACTTCATTTTTTTTTTCTTTTATAAGAAAGTATTTTGTACTGGATACAATTAGAAACAAAACTAACACTCACAGAGGCTGGAGAGACTGCTCAGCATTTAAGAGCTTACTGACTGCTCTTCCAGAGGACCTGGGTGCAGTTCCTAGCATCCACCCGGGAGCTCCCAACAGTCTGTGACTCCTGTTCCAGGACACCCGTTGCCTCCTCTGATCTCCATGGGTTAATGCTCAATAGAAAGCATGAACAGTAGATAAATTACTGTACCTACCATGGGGTCCACTGTCCCACTCATCACTTGTCTGGTAAATTCTCATGCAGGAGACATTTGGTTGGTTGCATTTGGATATTATATAAGTTCCTTCCTGGCAAATTTCTCATTAGGAAATACCTAAAATATCTAAATTTTCTAAACAGTCATTTAGATCCTAATGCTGCCATGGCGGGTTGAGTTGGAAGAAACAGATGAATGGCGGCATTCTGAGTGAGGCTTGACTTAAGCTAGGGAACATATCTGCGCTTTCTATATATTGAACTGGACTCTTAAGCTAGTTTGATCTAGGCTAACCATAAGGGGACATAACTGGGCTTTCTATATATCTAAGCAGGACTTTAGATATATCTAGTAATTTGGGCCCAAATCCCAGCATAGAAAACTTAATAAAAACAATTCTGTTTCCCCAAGTTCTCCCAATCCTCCCCTTCTCACTTTTCTCTCCCCGTCCCCCCTTATCCCCAACCCACCCCTCCCCCAAGATCTCAATTTTCTCCCCAGAAATTTTGTCTACTTCCCATAGCCAAGAGGATAACTATATGATTTTCCTTGGGTTCACCTTCTTATTTAGCTTCTTTTGGTTCACCAGGTATACACTCTGTGACCTTTATTTATGGCTAGAAACCAATTATGAGTGAGTACATCCCATGTTCATCTTTTTGGGTCTGGGTTACCTCGCTCAGGATAGTGTTTTCTATTTCCATCCATTTGCATGCAAAATTCGAGAAGTCATTGTTTTTTACCGCAGCATCGTACTCTAATGTGTATATATTCCACACTTTCTTCATCCATTCTTCCATTGAAGGGCATCTAGGTTGTTTCCAGGTTCTGGCTATTACAAATAATACTGCTATGAAGGTTGGATAGGGGAGCAGGGAAGCACATATTTTAGTTAAGGGAGCCACCTTAGGGTTGGCAAGAGACTTGAACCTAGAGTGGCTCCCAGGAGCCCAAGGCGATGTCCTCAGTTAGTCCCTTGGGAAGCTGAGGATAGGGAACCTGAAATGACCCTATCCTATAGCAATACTGACGAATATCTTGCATATCACCATAGAACCTTCATCTGGTGATGGATGGAGATAGAGACAGAGACCCACACTGGAGCACTGGACTCAGCTCCCAAGGTCCCAATGAGGAGCAGATGGAGGGAGAACGCAAGCAAGGATGTCAGGACCACGAGGGGTGCACCCACCCACTGAGACAGTGGGGCTGATCTATTGGGAGCTCACCAAGGCCAGCTGGACTGTGACTGAAAAAGTATGGGATAAAACCGGACTCTCTGATCATGGTGAACAATGAGGGCTGATGAGAAGCCAAGGACAATGGCACGGGTTTTGATTCTACTTCATGTTCTGGCTTAGTGGGAGCCTAGACAGTTTGGATGTTCACCTTCCTAGACATGGACAGAGGGGGGAAGACCTTGGACTTTCCACAGGGCAGGGAACCCTGACTGCTCTTTGGATTGGAGTGGGAGAGGTTGTGGTTTGTGGGTAGGTGGTGTTGGGTTGAAGGAGGGGGAGGGAAATGGGAGGCTGGGAGGAGGCGGAAACTTTTTTTTTCCTTTTCTCAATAAAAAAAAAGAAAAAAAAACAATTCTGGAAAACGTTTACTGGAGGGACTAGAGAGATGGCTCCATGGTTAAGAGCCTGCTACTCTCACCAAGGATCTGAGTTTGGTTCCCTGAACCTATGTTGGAGCCCGTCTGCCATATAGAAATATGGGCCTACGCACCTATTGTTGGGCAGCTGACAACAACCTGTAACTCCAGCTCCACGGGAGTCTGATGCCTTTTCCTGGTCTCTGGTGGAACCTGCACATGTGTGTATTACATACTCAGGGACATACACAACATAAATAAAAATGAAGCAAATTTTATTTAAAAGGTGATTTGAAATATTTAGGAATTCTTATAGTAAAAGTTTTAATACTAAAGTATTCATATAGTAACTAGAATTTCAATTTTGAAAAAATTGTTTATCAGATCAGCCTATGTCTAAGTAAATATACACTTTTTAAAGCCAAATTCATTAAGTTATAATTTACGTAAAGTAAAACTCAACTTTTTCTTAGAGATAGTCCTTCTCTGTAGCTCAACCTGGATTTGAACTTATGATCTCTCTACCTCAGTGTTCTGAGTGCTATACAGAAATACACTACCATGCCAGGCTAAAAATCAACTTCTTTATTCTAATAAATACAACAGTTGTATAATAAACAGCATCCTTGGTCAAGTTAGGGAACACCACCATCATATCCACCCCCCACTGCTCCTTTGAAGTTGGTGCCCCCTTCACTAGTGATCAGTGGTTTGCTCTCTATTCTTAGACATTTTGTCTTTCCCAGAGTGTTGTGGGATTAGAATCTCACAGACTAACCATCTCAGGCTGTTTTCTTTCAGTGAGTTTAATGCCTTTGGGATTAATGTATTTCCCTACATTTATCAGTAGTTCCTTTCTTTTGATAATTAGTTGCATCCCAGTGTGCCAAGGAAATGAAAAATATTACAATTACTGTGCTAGACAACTTAGTAGTTTCATATAGAATTAAGCATACATACCACATACTCAGAAATCCTGCTTTTAGATATTTATTTACTCAAGAGAAATGAATACATATGTCCACATAGACACACATGGATGCTCAAGCAGCTTTATTCATAAAGTGGAAACAATTTGAACATCCACCTAGTGAATGGATAAACTCTAGTGATCTACACACTGGGATGTTTTAAGGATTCAGCAAGATTTCTAACAAGAGTGAAGTATAAAAATGTCAGCCAAACACCACCAAAACCCTCTAAAATGGAAAGAGAAGTCGTCTCGAAGAATCATTTGAAGGCCCTTTGATGAAAGCTGGGCTGTGGTGGCACACGCCTTTAATCCCAGCACTCAGGAAGCAGAGGCAGGCAGATCTCTGTGAGTTCAAGGCCAGCCTGGTCTACAGAGCTAATTCCAGGAGAGCTAGGCTGTTACACAGAGGAAAAACTGTTGGGGCTGGAGAGATGGCTCAGTGGTTAAGAGCATTGCCTGCTCTTCCAAAGGTCCTGAGTTCAATTCCCAGCAACCACATGGTGGCTCACAACCATCTGTAATAAAGTCTGGTGCCCTCTTCTGGCCTTCGGCATACACACAGCTGGACTGAAAAAAAAGAAAAACTGTCTCAAAAAAAAAAAAAAAAAAAAGAATGAGAATGAGCCCCATAGGCTCATATATTCAAATGCTTGGTCTCCAGTTGGTAGAAATATTTGGGAAAGATTAAGAAGAGAAGGTGCGTCATTGGGGGTGGACTGTAGGCTTTTAGCCCATATTAATCCCAATTCTCTCTCTCCCTCTCTCTTTCTCCCCTTTCCTCTCTCCCTTCATTCTTCCCTCTCTCTCCCTCCATCCATCCTTCTTTCCCATTCTCCCTCATACTTATGGATGAGATGTCAGCTCTGAGCTACCGCTCCAGGCCGTGTCTAACCCTCTGTATGTAAACATCAGTCTAAATTAAATGCTTTCCTTTATAAGTTACCCTGGCCATGGTGTCTCTTCACAACATTGGAAAAGTAATTAATTCATCCTTGCCAGACTTGACTTCGTCATGTTTTTGAGCATCTTTTTTAACTATGCCATTAAGTACTCTAAGGTATTGTCTCCTTGGAGTTTTTATTTGTATTGACCTAATGACTAATGATATTTGTTAGTAATGTTTATTTGCCATCCATAAGTCTTCTGGTGAGGTGATTATTCAAATCTTTTACCGATTTTTAATTGTTTGTGATTAGATTATGAATTTTTCATAATTATAAACACTATCCCTTTACCAAATATGATGTGTTGAGACTGGACCATGATCTGAATATGAAGACATCAGGACAGTTTACCAGGAAACTGCTGTAGGGTGCTGAAGTGAGACTTGAGAAGAAGGAGGAGCTGCGTGTGTAAGGGCTATTCCTAACTTCCTACTATGAGATCTGTCAATTTGGAGGTCCCAGGTCTACAGTTCTTGGAACTGTCAGGCCTGTTTCCAGAATTCATAAGAGAATGCTTGTCAACTTTTATGTGCAGAAGAATTGACATCGGAGACTCTTCTATATGGTGATTCCCTGCTCTTACATGCCTCCAGCTCTTCATTCTGAATTCTTGCTACCTCCCCAACTCTGTCTCCCTTTTTACTTTTCTAGCCACAGAGAGCTATTTTATGTCTTATATTTTCACCCAAGAACCTCAAGCCATAGTCTGGTTCTTAAATTCCCCTCAAAAGTCTCTAATGGGCCGGGCGGTGGTGGTGCACGCCTTTAATCCCAGCACTCGGGAGGCAGAGGCAGGTGGATCTCTGTGAGTTTGAGGCCAGCCTGGTTTACATTAAGGAGGTGAGGCCAAACAGGAAGTCTTCAGGTCCCCAGGATACGGCCTTGAAATGGTTGCAGAACCTCTCCTCTCTTTTGCTTGTTGGCCATAATGTTGATAGTTTTTTTTTTTTTCCACCACACATCCTCATAGTAATGGGCTGTCTTATCCGAGGCCAAAAGGCAGTGGGGTCAATGAGTCAGGGGTTAGAACTTGTTAACTGTGTTTAGATAAGTACCATATACCAAAGTTAGATCAGGACCAGATGAACAATCTAAATAGACCAGTTAGTCGCGAAGAATTAGAAGTTGTTATAAAAAACCTCCCTACCAAAAAAAAAAGCCCAGGTCCAGACGGTTTCAATGCAGAATTCTACCAGAACTTCCAAGAAGACCTAATACCTATACTCCTTAATGTATTTCACAAGATAGAAACAGGAAAGTCATTGCCAAATTCCTTTTATGAAGCTACAGTTACCCTGATACCAAAACCACACAAAGACTCAACCAAGAAAGAGAATTACAGGCCAATCTCACTCATGAACATCGATGCGAAAATCCTCAATAAAATACTGGCAAACTGAATCCAAGAACACATTAGAAAAATTATCCATTATGATCAAGTGGGCTTCATCCCAGGGATGCAGGGCTGGTTCAACATATGAAAATCTATCAATGTAATCCATCATATAAATAAACTGAAAGAAAAAAACCATATGATCATTTCATTAGATGCTGAAAAAGCATTTGACAAAATTCAACATCCCTTTATGATAAAAGTCTTATAGAGATTAGGGATACAAGGGTCATACCTAACTATAATAAAAGCCGACAGCTAACATCAAATTAAATAGAGAGAAACTCAAAGCCATCCCACTAAAATCAGGAACACGACAAGGCTGTCCACTCTCTCCATACTTCTTCAATATAATGCTTGAAGTTCTAGCAATAGCAATAAGACAACATAAGGGGATCAAGGGAATTCGTATTGGAAAGGAAGAAGTTAAACTTTCATTACTTGCAGATGATATGATAGTGTACATGAGCGACCCCAAAAACTCCAGCAAAGAACTCCTACAGCTGATAATCACCTTTAGTAGCATGGCAGGATACAAGATCAATTCCAAAAAATCAGTTGCCCTCCTATACACAAAGGATAAGGAAGCAGAAAGGGAAATCAATGAAGCATCACCTTCCACGATAGCCACAAATAGCATAAAATATCTTGGGGTAACTCTAACCAAAGATGTGAAGGATCTATTTGACAAGAACTTTAAGTCCTCGAAGAAAGAAATTGAGGAGGATACCAGAAAATGGAAGAATCTCCCTTGCTCTTGGATTGAGAGGATCAACATAGTAAAAATGGCAATTCTACCAAGGGCAATTTATAGATTCAAAGCAATCCCCATTAAAATCCCATCAAAATTCTTCACAGATATTGAGAGGACATTAATCAACTTTCTATGGAAAAACAAAAAACCCAGGATAGCCAAAACAATCTTATACAATAAAGGAACTTCTGGAGGCATTACCATCCTTGACTTCAAACTCTATTACAGAGCTTCAGTATTGAAAAAAGTTTGGTATTGGCATAAAAACAGAGAAGTCGATCAATGGAATAGAGTAGAAGACCCAGATTTTATCCCACAAACCTATGAACACCTGATCTTTGATAAAGGAGCTAAAAGTATTCAATGGAAGAAAGATAGCATCTTCAACAAATGGTGCTGGCAGAACTGGTTGTCAACCTGTAGAAGAATGAAAA